TCAAGAGATGCCAGAGGGCTTCTAAAGATGGTAATGTGCGATGAAAGGTTCATTAACTCTATTCTTGCATAAAAGTATACGCCTGATTTCGGTAATTCTGCTTTGCGTCATTTCTATGTGTTTTCCATATAAAGGAAACCGGATTCGTTATTCGGAGACGTCATTGCAGTCAACTATGTGTACATGGTGCCCTGAATAACGCATATTCAAAACGTGCGACATCGGCCGTTAACGCGCATTTCGTACACCTGCGCATGGAGATTTTTATACAAGAAAAGGTTACATCCAATGTTATAAATCTAAGTTGACTCTTCCTTTTATTTATTTTATTTCCTTGTGTTCAGTGGATTTACGACAAATTATTATGAAATATTTGAGACATAAATTGTATCATATTCCAGAGCCATTAAATCATTTTCTTCTCGTTTTGTCTTGAGCCGTTATCTTTTTTATGAACGATCAATTTCATGCAAAATCAGCAAAATTTTCTTTTCGTATCGTTTGTCCATTTTTTTTCAAGTCACCATTGTTATTAAGCGATTCACTGGATTTAGAATTGTGCAAGAAAAATATGTTTCAGTGTTTATCATCTTCAAAGGCTACTTTTTTATTTTATAATGATTTATTTAAAGATTTAAATTTGAACAAGGAAATAAAAAAGAAATTTAATCAATAGAAATTAACAAACTTTTACTGAAATATCATAAACAAAATTAGCGAGTTACGGTACTTTATAAACTAAACGTAATGGCGATAGTGTTTTGTTTAAGGTCTCTGAGTGATGATAATTATATTTGCATTATGTATTTGTTTAATTTGTTATAATGTTCTCCCTCATTTCTGTCTCTTAACTTTCATGAAAACTTGATTAAAATTTTTTATTGACATAGCTTTCTAGATGGTAGCATTTTTTTCATACATGTATTCGGAATCGTTGTATCCAACAAATTCTCCAAGAATGTAGTGCAAAAGCTATTTTTCTAAATAATGTTTCTAGTGTAACTGGTTAAATAACTGAAACTAATGTTTGATTATTGTATGGTTGGTGTCTGTTGCTTTCAGTCATCATAAATGCATCATGCCTGTACTCAAAATCTACATTGATGAAAACAATCATCATCTGTTTCAATTCTGGTCTTTTTTAGTGACTCGGATGTCCCACATTCTTAATTCTCAACCTTAGATTGCATGGATGTTTTGTGTTCTAATTGAAGCATAGTTTAATGCACAAGTTGAGATCAGGATAAATACACTGACTTCCATTAGAATTTCGAGAACTTTTCTGTTAAAGATAGAATTCTGTTACAAGACTGTAACTTACAGTGAGTGATTTAAATTTGAAATACAGTTTGTCAGAAGGAAGTCACAAAATGGTTGATAAGCCTTAAGAGTTTAACTTGTAAACTAAACAGCAAATTAATGCAATAGAAGAGGATGCTTTCAATTACATATTTAAGAATTAATAGAAAATAGAAAAATGATTTACTAAAACAGGACTGATAATCCAAAACTATAGATGATTTTGCCAAACACATGTATGCCAATACAGAAATGATATGCCAAATAAGAAATGGTATGTCAAAATAAATGATGGCACAAAACAAATTATATGTACAAACTGAAAGGAGTGTATTTCTATTTCATGCTTGTTTCCAATATGCATTGTAAGAATTCTAATACGCTCAAGGTTGTCATATTTCAAGATAATCTCGGTTCATTTGTTATACAATGCAATATAAATTCTATTGTAAGCAAACGGTAATGCATTTTTAATGCATGACATAGTTCATATCATTGAAAATTCTACACACTGATCAACATCTAAACAAATCGACATTAGTATATCGACTAGAGTTAACATAATATCAAGAATTTATAAGAAGATTAGTTCATATGTTCATCGATTTTGCAATTAACCACTGTATATAGAAACAAATATAGAAGATTTTAGCAGTAACTGCATCCCTCGATGTAGTCTTCAACTAATACATCAATATCCAGAATGTATTCTCACTTAATTCTTATCTCATATAAGCCGCGTCACGACAAAACTAACATAGTGCGTTTGCGACCAGCATGGATCCAGACCAGCCTGCGCATCTGCGCAGTCTGATCAGGATCCATGCTGTTCGCTATCAGTTTATCTTCTTGTAATAGAGTTGGTAAGCGAACAGCATGGATCCTGATCAGACTGCGCGGATGCGCAGGCTGGTCTGGATCCATGCTGGTCGCAAACGCATTACGTTGGTTTTGTCATGGCAGGGCTCATATAATGTTTCAGCAATTAATCTCATATGAGCCGCGGCACGACAAAACCAACATAGTGCGTTTGCGACCAGAATGGACCCAGACCAGCCTGCGCATCCGCGCAGTCTGATCAGGATCCATGCTGTTCGCTATCAGTTTCTCTTCTTGTTATAAGGTCTGTAAGCGAACAGCATGGATCCATGCTGGTCGCAAACGCATTACGTTGGTTTTGTCATGGCACGGCTCATATAATGTTTCAGCAATTAATCATGTCTGGAAAAAAATGAAGTCTTGAAAATGAGACCCAGACATCTTTTGTTCAGATTACATTGATATATTTAAAAAAATGCTTAAATGAATTCCTTGAACTTTTAGGTAGACTGAAATATAAAAGGTTGAAGCACTATTGATAAGGAAAATTGTGCATATTCATAATCATAAAATTGTTTTGCTCATTACTTCTCGTCTTTAAGCAGACGTCTTGGTATTTACACCTTGCTGGTTGAGTAGATATTTGCTGCATAAAACAGTACTGTATCTGACTATGTTTTTTTTTTTTTTTTTTTTTTTTTTTTTCTGAAACGCCACCTTAGATTGCAACCACTACTAAGTTATTTGAATCATCATTTTGAATATAAAATCATACCGATTTCGATACAGTAACATTTCTATATACCTATTTAAACACGTTAAAGTTCCCATCACAAAGAGTACCGGGAACTGACACTATAACTAAATTCCATATTCATACTGAAAAAAGACTAACAGATTGTGTTCATAACGCTTTTTGTCCATACATGTATTATATAATAATGATAATAACAATAACATTTATATAAATATATATTTCAGGTCTATATATAGTGTTCTACTTGATAGTGACGTCAGCATTTGCTGGAGTAACCGTACCATACAATGCCCTTATTGCCGACAAGTCACATCCTTCCCAAAGAGGTAAATAATAAACCAGAAAAACGTACTTTGTACAATACAATGTACTGTAAAATGATTTTCCGCGAAACGCTAACGTTACACAGAAGTTTATATGAAAAATAATGTCTGAAAATAGATAAAATTAGAATATAGAATGAATTCCTGAACATGATGCTATTTCGGAAATTTTTTTGATAATAAAACTTGTTGTCCTAAATATTAGTTTGATACTGTGTATTTGGTATTTACGAGTAAATATTTTCCAGGTCTAAATTCCGGTGTAATGGCAGCCATGATTCTGATAGGTAATGTCAGTGGTGCGGCCGTGGGAACTTCATTTACGGTAATATAAAATTCTGTATCACTAATTTGTCTTTTGAAGAATGAGCTAATGTAATACAAGACATACAGATAATTATATTCAATTAATGAAATAATTACAAATGTTATTGTGTCCTTTGTCTTAATTATTTCTTGATTACTTGAAAATGTTTTCGTGAAAATGTTGTTCAAAGTAATTAGTATCAAACTTTTTCAATTACCTACTTCATTGCAAATGAAAATCAATGTAAATGACTTATTATTAATACATGTATTGTCATTGTGATTTTAAGCTAAAATGCTATTCTTTGTATATTTTTGTGATATCTTGTCCATCTTTTACTATTTGTGTAAGGTCATAGGGATTTTTGCATGCCGATATGCTGATGAACCTGAATCTTATGATTATTGTTACATGTATCAACTTTGACCATTGAAAAAATATACAGTAGCATCAATTCACTTCCGATTATTCAGGAATATTCTTAAAATTTTAAGTTACTGCTTAAACTATTAGTAGCATTTTATGTTTTGGATAAACATGTATTCATGTATAACACCGATGCGACAAGTAGTCATACGACGCACAGATGTCTGACGTTTAACACCCACTCCCCCTCCCATACCCTACCCTAAAATATAAAAAAACACAATTTAATGAAGATATAACGCAGAAGGGGATATAAGATGTCAGACACCCGTCATACGACCGAATTAATTCATATAATTATACAATGACAATTTCGTGCTGACAATTTTATACATACTCTTTTATTTTATTTTATACATACTCTTTTATTTTATTTCATAATGTTACTGTATGAAACTAGTATTACAGTAAAGAGACCTCTCATTAATTGACCGATATATATATATTTCGATCATCCTTCAAGGCTCAGACTAAATGCGTTTTACAATTACTTTGCAAGCAGAAATATTTATTAAGTATATATTTTGGCTTTCATAAAAGCAAGTCTAGACATCCAAAAGCATTACTATCCTAAGTGTTTATTTTCCAACTACGGTGTATCAATGTATCAATTAATATTGGCTTTATTTTTTGCAGCATATCGGCGTTATTGGTGCCTATTCCATATCGATTGCTATAGTTCTTATAACGCTTGTGATCACAATATTTGCAACCACGGAGGACGAGGGAAAACATGTTGTTGAACCACTTGGTAATTGTTGATACATTTTAGAAAGAACACTTGTTACTTAGAGCTAATACTGAATGCATCTAACAACACCGTTGCGAACATGCATTTCTGTAATGTTTACATAAATTATAATTTATCAATGTTAGAAAAAATAGTTGAAGTACTTTTTTAAATGCAAAACTTGTTAAGTAATAGAAAGAGCAGCGAAACACGAGGCTATCTGATTTGTACGAGGGGCGAAGCCCCCGAGTATAAATCAGATTGCGGAGTGTTTTGATGATCTTTTTTCTTTTGTATCATATGCAAAAATAAAAACACGTTCCCTGAAAAAAGAGCCACTGTAGTCAGACAGTAAGTGCGTGTAACTAACACCTGCACAACGCATTTTGCATGTACTGGTATACGATTCAACTCAGACACGTTTTCAATAGTCCAAACTATGATACAATTAGAGCATATTTCCATATTGATTATATGTATGACACAAGAAGGTCGTTTAATTATGATTGTTGACAACGTATTGCTCTGTAGTTTAATAGAGATATATCTTTCTGATTCAAAGACAGAATCTTATATTCCTTTCTTTTTTTTTTTTGGAAATAATTACAGTTATATAATTTATCGAACATTAAGTAACTTAAATACCTTATTGAAATATATTTTATAACCATGCATTTAATACAAAAATCATTTGTCTTAAATATTGTGCTAATAATTAACGCTTGAGGTCTTGTCATTTTCTGAGTTTAAAGCAGGAATTATTACAAGCCTAATTTTTAAATTTATTAAATACTACTGTAAATGAAATTATGAAAGAATACCCCTGCTAGAAGTAAAAGTGATTTTTGTCACCAGTATAAAGCCAGGTCAGCCTGCACATCCGTTGACTCTTCAATTTTTATCATTATATCTCCAAAATTGATAATGGACAGTTTTTGAAAATGGAATCCGGACAAGTCCATTTGTCATATGAGATGAACGAACATTTGATACTAGCTGCTAATGAAAATTACATAAAGCTCAACTCATTAATATTAAAAGAGAAATTAAATTGAAAATGAGAGACCTTGTAAAAGCAGATTATGAAGCGAACCAATAGTTAAAGTAAATCAAACCGTATAATGAAGTAACTCTAATCCTAACGTATCATTGAATTGCAGGCTGTATAACACTATTTTGTGGTTTCTGGGATCCATTAAAAGGTAATAAATTTACTGATATCTTTCTTATCTTTTCTTTTGTTTAATGTTTAATTTATGCCATAAATCTTGTATTATAAATTTAAGTTTGTTTGATTTATGGATATATTTGTTTGATATTTATCTAGTTTCTATATAACTAAGTACATTTTAAGACTTGGTATTATGTGTTGCATTACTAACGTATAATGCCATAGGTAATTTATTATGTCTAGCCAATGTATCAGAATATATGTTTTCATATAATTTCCATTTAGTACAGTGTACCAGTCCTGTCTAAAAACCCTATAACTTCTGTATGATTGACACTACAAGAATTGTAATCTCTAGTGGTAACAGAACATATTGCCTTTTGTTCTTGTTTGCATGCAATGCAATTAGCTATTTCTAATAATAGAACTAAAAGACGTGAGAGCATTGACATAGCATGATTATAGAGACATTTAAAACATGCGTTCATTCAAGGTTATCGTGTTGCTATTTCAGAACATGATTTCCGATGGGTTTTCATCACACGATTTCTAATGCAACAAGGTGTTTCAACAGTAACAGGGTAAGCATGGAACAGGCTGAATTGAAATCTGCATTATTCATTGGTATTCTGTAAATTAAATAGCATGAAACTTGCAACCAAATAACGGTCTGAAATAAAAAAAGGAAACAGAAAATGTTTGTTAATAATTGCAACAGTGAAAAAATAACAACATTGTCTTTATTATTGTAGTTAGGGTAGTAATTGCGTGGTTATTTTTGACTTGCAGAATCTAATTACATTGTCATATTGGCATAATTATGCCATAGATATGCATGGCTGCAGTCCAGGAGTTCATCTCAATAAAGTGTTAAGAATAGCGTTAACTCATGTTGGAACCTAGTTTTGTAGCTTTTTTACTGTTGTACTTGCGTTTCAATTTAGTGAAATACTTCATAACATAGGAAAATTGTCTGGTTGTGAAAAGGTATACCGTTCAATGCTCTATTAGCTGAGACTCAATCTCAAGCTGCTTGTCCCAGTTTATGCGTATTTCGTCCTTGGTAGTCTTCCAGTGAAGTAAGAAAAGTGATCAAATTTGCTTTATAGTTCTTTTGCTAACAGTTAAAATAAAAGGATGTATATATAACTTTATGATGCCTACAACTTATATACTACAGATTTTTAGAGTACTGGTTACATGACATGGTAATTTTACCTCACTGTTGGACGGCTGCTACAAGTGTTGCCATCATGTTATTACCAATGTTGTTTGCTGCTGCATGTAGCTCCATTATCTTTGGTATCATATCAGATAAATTTGGAAGAAGGAAACCTATTGTTATAACTGCAGGTCAGTTCATTTATATATACCTGTATTGATTTGATGGTATTCTTGAAATGAGTATAACTGATATTGGCACTTTTGGAGACAAAAAAAAACAAGCGCACGCAAAATTTAAAGGATTAAGTGATGCAATAACTTGAGCATACTATTAGGATGAATGACAAATTTAAGACAAATGCTGTTTAAAATCATGTATTTAAAAATGTATAAGCATAACATGTGTATTCATATAAACAAAGAAAAAACACATTTATTTAGGTTTAGTTGCCATACCTATTCACAAACATTGATCATGTGTTTTTTTTAATTCAATTTTAGCGGCAATTATGAGCACCAGCATTGCCACTATGATCATGGTGTCAGGGAAAAGTGCATTCTACATTGCTATAATCCTAGCCTTTTGTTTTGGTAGGTTTCTCATTTTCTGAACTATTTTAATGAAGTGACAAGTTAAATCGTTAAAAACATTCTAATACACAATCTTTTCAGAATAATACATTGAACATGCCGGTTAATCACGGGGAGTAACTCTTAAGAAGTAATAACAAACATGCATTGTTAAGTTATCTGTCATTAAATTGGAGAACAATATATTACATATTTTAATTTTCGTTTTCGATATAATATAGATAATATTGTTATGAAATTACCCATTTTTTCATCTGAGTGTCTTTTTTCAGGGGTTGGATTTGGGTCGTTCCAGTCAGTTGACTTTGCCCTAGTTATGGATGTTTTACCACAAGAAAAAGACAAGGCCAAAGATATCGCTGTTTGGCATCAAGCTCTTATCTTGCCAAATGCTTTAGCCACGCCTGTTGGCGGATTGATATTGGACTACTTTCAACAGGTTGACTGTAGAATAGGGCTCGGTTACATTATTCTTTTTGCTGTTACTGCCGTTTATTTTTGTCTGAGTGGATTATTTGTGATGAAGATAAAACGTGCACGATAAAAACATCATACAATCAAATTTCCCGCCATGTTTTGCTAATATTTTAAAAGGTATTTAATCTTGCTGTCGAAACTGTTGCTGGGCTACCATCTTTGAAATATTAATAAATGTTTGAGTTGTTATGTTTCAGCTATTTTTGTATATTAAGGTAGTAATATAATACCAATAGCTACTTAAATGTATCAATAGTATAACATAAAGATCACGGTTTTTATCTTATGCACATCTACTTAAATACTACATAACCCTCAACCTGCTTGTACCGGATGTGATCAGCCTTTGTCACCAGTATAGAGCCAGACCAGTCTGAACATCCATGCAGTCTAACCAGGCTCTATACTGCTAGCTGACTAACTTTAAATTTGCATATTGATATGGCTAGAATTGTGATTGATCAGTCTAAACAATGGACGCTGTCCATTTTTTTTTTAATGATCAACAGGTTAAGGGTTGGGTAGCGAATTTTTCAAGCAGACGCTGTACTCTTATTTCACTTTAATTTGTTTAAATATAGCCAAATTGATAAAGAATATCTTAATATTTTGAGTTTTATTAGCTTGTCGCGTGATATTCGTGCTTGTGTTACATAAAGATGGTGACAAAGGCACATGATTTTCATTCAAGTTTTAAGAGGATACATTTTGAAATGTGGCTTTAAAATAGATTCAAACCAATAGGATAATAATAAGTGTCACATCTGTATGTTGTGAATTTTGAAAATTTAAACCATTTCACTACTGGTTTAAAAGAACCAAAATGACTTTTAATATTATGTTTTATAATTATAACTTTATTTTTATTTCTTAATCGGCAGGAAATACATATATCTGACTACTCTACAACGAAAAAAAATATGGATGGCATTTTTTGTCTTTAGGTTGTTAAATAATTACTTTCAGGCAATTCAAATAATTACCTCTATTTATTAACATGTTTAATATTTCATTAAATACATTCCGTCTATCAATACCTCGTGTGAATTTAGTAAACTTTGACAGTTTCCGTATACGTGTATATAATTAACGTTTTAATAGAAAACGGGGAGCGGGCAAAGAAACAGACGCTTATAAAGTCTTTAAAGATACGGAAAGTGTCGAAAATGATCCGGATTTTCACGAGTATGTAATGTGTATATGTACTAAATCTTAAAGTCAAATATGATATTTATATGTGATATTATAAAAACATTTCCTGTCTCATTTGATTGTTGTAATAATATTTAACATATTGTTATTTGTTTTTACCCCATCGTTAAAAATAAATAAATTGATGACTTTGCACAATTCATTTTACTGGAAAAATAGTTAAGCTATTTTTAACACTACATGTAAAATATCTATCTTGTATCACAAAATGTTGGTTCCTATTACGGTGAAGTGCGCACTATTTTGTTTTCTTATACAGATAAATTATAACCAACCTTGTGTATCTATATACAAAAGCATTTTAATGTAGTTTCGTATGAAATGTCAATAAAATAATTATTGATTTGAATATTAAATCTTACTCTGCTGAATCTGTAATATTATAATGAATATTTCGAAATTCATCATTGGTATATTCTGGAGGACTGGAATGGGACAAAATTATAATATAATAATCACCCAAAGGTACATATAGTTGGATCTAAAAAAACCTGAAACAGAAGTATAGTTTGCTCATGGACCTTAGTTTCCAGCTGTCTCGGTGTCGAGGACTTAATCTTATGAGAATGAATTTGAAGCTTTGTAAAGGATAACTCAATAAAGAACCCTTCATAGTGACAGTTCAAGTGTACTAATAAATATTCCATACAACCAAAGACAATTTATATACATGGTATCATTTTATATTCATTCATTAACGGTGGTGATAACATATTATGTATAATTGTGTTGATGTGTTTATATTGTTATCATGATTTGATTTATTAATAAAAAATCACATAAAAGTTCATGAATATAGTTTTAGTATCTCATTTGTATGAAAGAAGTATACTGGAACTATGTTGTTTGTTACATTCTCCAATGGCAAACTTGTCGGGTGCATGTTTTATTTCTATATATTTCCAAAACAACATAACATAGAAAAGTTTGTAGTGTGATACTAAAATAATTCTTTTTATATAGTCAGACCCCTATACGTTGAAGCAGATATAGTCTCTGTTAAAGTATCATTATCCTTAATACCACCCGTTAGCTCATTAGGTAGAGCGTAGGACTGTAAATCGGGCGATGCTGATCCGTGCTGATCACTTTCGTTATGATAGATCATTAAATCATTTCTTTTGTCATTCGCACTGTATCTCTGCCCTTGCAGGTACACAATTTATCAGTTCCTTGCGAAAGGGACGGCAACTATTACTGATAAACAGACTGACAGCCTGCCCAGGAACGATGCGGTGACTGAACTGAGCTCTGGTAAATTCAATATGGCTTACTTTGGGACAATACGCCGCTTTTCGTCGAATGGCACTTAGTGTCACATTGAAGGTTCCATGATAACCACCGAATAAACACATCTGCGGTGTTTCAAAACTCAATATTTCACCATTTTCATGTTTAAATGTTGAATTCTGGTTAAGCCGGTGCTAGGGGCATTGAATGAAGTTTTTACTTGACAGTACCGTCCATTGAACAGGCTCAATCAAACCGGGTCTCAATATTTTAAATTTTGCCGTTTTTTGGGATTCTTTAGGGATTCTTATTTTCTCTATTTTACTGCCGTGATCCAGAGTGAAAAACTACCGACACCATTATTATTCATTGTATATGATTAGTGTTTTTATGTAAACGTTTCAAACATTGCTTGCATAACAGATTTACAAAACATTTAATAATAGCAAATGTCTTGATAGCGACTAGTGCAGACCATGATCAGGCGGTGCAAATGTGCCCGCTGTTCTTTGGCTGCACTGGTAGTGTAATTAGAAAAAAAAAATAAGTCGAAAATAAATCTAAAGTAGAAACTTACACGACAAAATTAAAAATGTTCAACCTTTGATTTCGATTGAGCCATGTGGCCAAAGTTCAGGACGTATTCTACTATTGTTTAATATTATTATTATAGAACACAGGAAGGATAGAAACTTGTCGAAGAAATCAATCTAAAGAATGCAAGACTAAACGATTTTGTTGATGCTCTAAACATACGGTGTTTTAAGAATAAATCTGACGAAAGAAGTATGATTGGTATTATTTCTAAACGCAGAAAAACTAATTATGGTTAATATGGTAGAAAAATCGTCATCATCATTGTCAAGAATGAGTATATAATTAATGTGGTTATTTTTGTTCAAATACAGTGATAATTATAAAAAAAAAAGTGGAATTGATTAGAATCAATTGAATCACGCTGATTTACAGATATTAATACTATTAACCACATTTTGCTTAAATACCAATAAGTACGATAAATTAAAGCAGATTATTTACATAGCATTAGCATTTAGCACAATTTGCGTACAACTAGTAAATCGTGAGGACAAAACGCAGTCTATACGTGCGTGTGTTTAAAGAACAAATGAGCCGCGTCACGACAAAACCAACATAGTGGGTTTGCGACCAGCATGGATCCAGACCAGCCTGCGCATCCGCGCAGTCTGATCAGGATCCATGCTGTTCGCTTACAAACCCTACAACAAGTAGAGAAACTGATAGCGAACAGCATGGATCCTGATCAGACTGCGCGGATGCGCAGGCTGGTCTGGATCCATGCTGGTCGCAAACGCACTATGTTGGTTTTGTCGTGACGCGGCTGAAATATCACAATAAAGTTAATTTCAAATAATGGAAATACTTCGTATCAAATGTAGATATAATAAAATCTAATAATCACACCATTAAAGATTAGTATGATTTAACTAGAAAAAATGTATATTCAATCGTTGTTATAATCACCATCATCATCATCATCATCATCATCATCATCATCATCATCTGCAGCAGTAACGACAGCAAAATGTACCCTTACCAAACCTCAAGTAACGCAAAAATTTCCAATACAAAACTTCATCATTACCAGTACTTTGATAATATCATCATCAACAACTACATCATTATCACTATTTGTCACTTAAACATTTCTATACTCATAATAATTTTCATCAATATCATCGCCATCATCGTCGTCGTCGCCATCTTTGTTGTCATCATCATTATCATCGTCATCATCGCCATCATTGCCATCGCCATCTTTGTCGTCATCATCATTATCAACGTCATCATCATCATCATCATTGTCGTCGACATCTTTGTCGTCACCATCATTATCATCGTCATAATTGTCATCGCCATCTTTGTCGTCATCATCATTATCATCGTTATCATTATCATCGCCATCATTGTCATCGCCATCTTTGTCGTCATCATCATCATTATCATCATCATTGTCGTCGACATCTTTTTGTCGTCACCATCATTATCATAGTCATCATTGTCATCGCCATCTTTGTCGTCATCATCATTATCATCGGCATCATCATCATCATCGCCATCATCGTCGTTGCCATCTTTGTCGTCATCATCATTATCATCGTCATCATCATCATCACCATCATTGTCGTCGACATCTTTGTCGTCATCATTATCATCGTTATCATCATCACCATCATTGTCATCGCCATCTTTGTCGTCGTCATCATCATTATTATCGTCATCATCACCATCATTGTCATCGCCATCTTTGTCGTCATCCTCATTATCATCGTCATCATCACCATCATTGTCATCGCCATCTTTGTCGTCATCATCATTATCATCTTCATCGTTATCATCACCATCATTGTCATCGCCATCTTTGTCGTCATCCTCATTATCATCGTCATCATCACCATCATTGTCATCGCCATCTTTGTCGTCATCATCATTATCATCTTCATCGTCATCATCATTGTCGTCGCCATCTTTGTCGTCATCATCATTATCATCGTCATCATCACCATCATTGTCATCGCCATCTTTGTCGTCATCCTCATTATCATCGTCATCATCATTGTCGTCGCCATCTTTGTCGTCATCATCATCGTCATCATCACCATCATTGTCATCGCCATCTTTGTCGTCATCATCATTATCATTGTCATCATCACCATCATTGTCATCGCCATCTTTGTCGTCATCATCATTATCATCTTCATCGTCATCATCATCTTGTCGTCGCCATCTTTGTCGTCATCATCATTATCATCGTCATCATCACCATCATTGTCATCGCCATCTTTGTCGTCATCATCATTATCATCGTCATCATCACATCATCATTGTCGTCGCCATCTTTGTCGTCATCATCATTATCATCGTCATCATCATCATCACCATCATCGTCGTCGCCATCTTTGTCGTCATCATCATTATCATCGTCATCATCATCATCACCATCATTGTCGTCGTCATCTTTGTCGTCATCATCATTATCATCGTCATCATCACCATCATTGTCATCGCCATCTTTGTCGTCATCATCATTATCATCGTCATCATCACCATCATTGTCATCGCCATCTTTGTCGTCATCATCATTATCATCGTCATCATCACCATCATTGTCATCGTCATCTTTGTCGTCATCATCATTATTATCGTCATCATCACCATCATCGTCATCGCCATCTTTGTCGTCATCCTCATTATCATCGTCATCATCACCATCATTGTCGTCGACATCTTTGTCGTCATCATCATTATCATCGTAATCACCATCTTGGTCATCGCCATCATCGTCGTCGCCATCTTTGTTGTCATCATCATTATCATCGTCATCATCATCATCACTATCTTTGTCGTCGGCATCTTTGTCATCATCATCAATACATTATATTGTCTTTGTCATCTAACCGTCGTCGTCGTCATCATAATTATTATCGTCGAGATCACCTTCATGACCGTGATTGTCGTTATCATAAACATCATTATCATAAAAAACAAGTTTAAATTTTTTTATCAGCAAGAACAACAGCAACTTCGGAATTGCAATCGCAATGAGTTACTTTCAGTTATTAATATATATCATATTAGCCGGGTCCATATACTTGCTCATTCACCACATCATCGTACAATTATTGTATACTATTTAACATACTCATATATTATTTATCGAAACAATTTATTATTATGTAAAAATTACAACAGTATATTAACATAACTCAATGGCATAAATCACTTTGTAACATGCAATGGACATTTGTTAGAAGTTGGCTCTAATGTACCTAATTGAGCTTTGATAATTACTAACTAATTGTTCATTATACTAATCATATATCACGCCTGGCATTAATGCTTTTATAAACATTACATGTACTGGGATAGAATAGAGGATTGTGAATGACGAAACCTCTGAATAACTTTAATGCCCGCTGTCTCAAATAGGAAAGGTATAATTTGATTTTATGAACGCAAGAACAGATAAAAACTGTGGAAAAACATCTATTAATAGAGAAAATTAAAGTTTTAGTAATGTCTTCTGCACCACCGCATTATCAATTAAAGCAAAACAAACAAAAAGCATGTACATTTGTATTCCACTTTATTATTATGATATTATCAATGTTAATTTCAGACAATCGTTTTACCACATTTGCATACTTAATTGATCATGACAGATGGTGGAACATTCCATATGAGTTACTCTGTTTGTAAAAATCAACTTTGTTCTTTACTTAACACCACTCTGTGTTGGATTTCTGAAGACATTCTATTTGTGAAGTACAGTATTTGAAAGTTGAGAATTGACACAAGAGAGATGATTTTTTTACAAAATATTATACAGAATATCATCAGTAATGAATATCTGACAGGAAGTATTTCCGGGATGTAGCTGGCGTGAAGTAAATCGAGACAAAAAGTTCCAATCGGCTTAATTGTTTTCGTCACAGACTTTACAAATATTATGCAAGGAATATTTGTGTGAATAAATATTGAAAATTAAGTGTCCTTAAGCAGCATAATGGCTGCATGCTTGTTCACAATAATGATAGCTGAAAGTTCGATCCACGACCGTTTCAAAATGTGACACCATATCCCTGCTGCCTCCCTCATTAAAGAATATGAATGATGTATCAATGCCGTGGCATGAATAATATGTTAAGAAAACAAGCCGCAATTAAATGTGAATTGACTTTGCAATCATTCACATTTTCACATTGAGTTTAGTACAAAATGTTTTATTGCTTCAAAATACATTTAAACCCAAGGTACAAAATGTATAACAGCAAAGCCCATGGGCTATGCAATAAGTACTTATATAATAATATACTTATATAATTAAAATGAAGCCATTTATAAAAGTACAGTGTCATAAAAAGATCGTTATACATAGTATAACTCATCAGAACTTTATATAGTTTAACAGCCCTCTACATATATAATGATATTTTTACTTTTTTTGAGGTTAAATGCAGTTTATATTGTGTGACTAATGAAATTTTTACCAGACTATAGATATTCATGATATTTTATTACATTTATTATTAACAAGGCAAAAGATTTTGCATAAAATTATTATCAATTTATTTCAATTTCATTTAGGACTTTTCAAGTGTCACAATATTGGAAAAAACAATGTGCACATTTTAGTGCACATGTGAACCACATCATTCATGAAAACGCTTGATTGATAATTATATTGATTGATTTATATGATTTTTGATCCATGACAAGTATGGCATAACATTGACATAAACACCTGTCCAGCCTGGCTGTCCACAATCTGGCCCGAAACTAACGACTCCTAAAATTAAACAAAACGAACGTTTTTAACAAAATTCAAAAGTTAAAATATTTTCAATTTTATCAAGAACGCCGTAGATCTAAGAAAGATACGGAAATCATTTCTGGCAAGGATCCGTTCTTTAGAAGCACCACTGAGTTTATATAAACAAATATGATAGTTTCCTGAATCAAAACAAATATGGCCCATGCAGGGTTTGAACTCACAGCTTTGTTAGACAAGAGATTGGAAATAAGCACATTTACCACTCGATAACCATTGGGTTCTTATATCAAATATATGCATATTTATAAAACTGCACGTTTTTAACGTCGCTTTTTATCACAGGCACGAGTATCGGACCTGGGAAGAAAAAATATGACCAGATTGATAAAAAAACCTGTGTTCATCTTAAAAGTGTCAAAAAAACCAAAAAAATGTAAATAATGACCCCCTTTAAAATATACTATAAGTTAAGAGAAGGCCGGAAACTCCAGATTCGAGCCTACGAGCAAGGGATTCATTTCCCGGGCCGTTTTGAAAACAATTGGCCAGACAATCAAAAAAAACTTTTATCACTATTTCATGTTTATATTAGGCTTCAAAATGAGACCAACCCCAAGTCTCTAGCCCTTCCCGTTCATGAAATATCTATCAGGAAACAAGCGAATTCGTGCTAAAAATCCTTGGTAGACAGAATTGCGGCACAGCAATTCGATACGTAAACATAGACTAATACATGTATGTCAGCTGAGTATGGGTCAAAATCACTTGAATTTACTAAATAATATTACTAAATACATTAAGTTGGACCACTCACAACCGTAGGTAGCATCTGATACACGCAAAATTCGAATTTCAAACCTGTCCACGGTCTTTAGATTACTTTCTACGCCATTGTCAATCAGCTGTTCGATATTTTGTAACGAGTCTTCTGATTGGCCAATAGCAACGAAAACTGCAATGTTTCACACAAGATGCCTAATGGCGTAGAAAGCGATTGAAAGACCGTGTAAATGTTTGAAACTCGAATCTCATGTGTATTAGATGCTACTGTTGGTTGTGAGTGGTCCAACTGAATGTATTTAGTAATATTATTTAGTAAATTCAAGTAATTTTGACCCGTAGTCAGCTGACATACATGTATTAGTCTATGTTTACGTACCGAATTGTTGTGCCGCAATTCTGTCTACCAAGGATTTTTAGCACGAAGTCGCTCGTTTCCTGATAGATATTTCATGAACGGGTAGGGCTAGAGACTTGGGGTTGGTCTCATTTTGAAGCTTAATATAAACGTGAAATAGTGATAAAAGTTTTTTTTGATTGTCTGGCCAATTGTTTTCACAACGGCCCGGGAAATGAATCCCTTGCTCGTAGGCTCGAATCTGGAGTTCCCGGCCTTCTCTTAACTTATAGTATATTTTAAAGGGGGTCATTATTTACATTTTTTTTTTGGTTTTTTGACACTTTTAAGATGAACACAGGTTCTTTTTATCAATCTGGTCATATTTTTTCTTCCCAGGTCCGATACTCTTGCCTGTGCTTTTTATTGGATAATTGTGACGTTTATATACTTTATACATGTATATACGACTGTTGTCAATTTATGAAGAAATCTTACGTTTTTCTCTAGAAAAGGAAGATTGCAGTATAATAAATTCGTTATAAATATTCCTGAAAGATCATATGGCCGTATATAAACGGTTGTTTGGATTATAACCCTTGCCTACCGGCTTGGGTAATGTTTACAAACATTCGTTATGTAGGGCTATTGAACATGTCAAAATTTTTACATGTAAAAGTATATAAATGTCTAACTTTTTAATTCATGAAAAAATGCACGCACAGCAAGATGATTTTAATGATCATACTATTTTTGCTATCTAAAATTGAACTATCATTGTGTTATCATATACCTTTCACAAACCATCTTCCCTCAATTCTACAACTATAAGGTCCGCCACTGTCACCCTGAAAAGGTATAAATAGATATCAAGTTCAAAACAAGATCCTGCACTGAACTATTATTTACTGGAAAGAAAATGGTTTGATCTAAACCTATTATTAATACCTTATGCATGAAAAACCACTGGTGATAAAATCTGTTATTTTAGTTAGGAAAATATATATCTTGTCAATACGTACTCATTATTATGACAATATGTAAACTGCAAACTTATTTCCCTCATCATTTTGTGCCCTATGTTACATAGATTGCACTATTTTACATACACATGTAATTTAAGTGCACTATGTTTCACACACTTGTAGTTTAGGTACACTATGTTACATACACATGTAATTTAAGTGCACTATGTTTCACACACTTGTAGTTTAGGTACACTATGTTACATACACATGTACGTTATGTACATTATGTTATATACTCGTGCAATTTAGATACACTATGTAACAGATACTTGTAGTTTAAGTGCACAAGACACTTTTTGTTCAAGATATTTGATATTAGACACCTCTAATTTTAAGTGGACTTACGAATACACTAAAAGTCTTTATTAAATCGAACTTCGTTAATAGTAGCTAAGGTCGGCTCTGTTAAACACACATGCAGTTAACAAGGGGAGGAATCACGCCGTTCGTTACCCAAACAAACAAGATGGCGGATGAAGCCAAAAAGTAGGTTTTTCCCTTTTTTCTCTGAAATTCGTGATGTTCTTGTGTAAAGGTACATATAACAACCTTCTACACAATTTTCCTGGCACACAGAAATTTATTTCATGGTGTTTCGTCCCGTACTTCTTCTGAAATGCGCGTCACCAGATTCGAAGCGAGAGAATTTTCCACCGGTTTGATCGTGGTAACGTACGGCTTCTTCTCTAAAATTCACTGTTTTGTTTACATATATGTATATTAACTGAAATCACTGACATTAAAAAGTTGTAATATGTCGCATCTAAGCATTCATGCCCATTCTGGCTAGAATAACCGCTGAAAATATTAAAATCGGGGCATTTTCCGGAAATGATAACGTATGGCGCACAAAATATCAATGATAACGTACGGCGCATTTTTGTCTGCTTAATTGATTTTCTATATAAGAGAAAAGTTATGTTAACAGTTACCAGACATAAGAGGATATTTAGAACCAAATAAAGAAACTGAATATTATTTAGTGTTTGCATCTGTCATGTGTTTTTGTATCGGATAGAAATATCCGATCCAAGGGCTCTTTCGCATTGGGCTGTAACGAGTCTTGCTAACTTAAGCCCTTGGGCAGGTGCCAGTGAGATAGATATTAAAATCCGATAGGTAATCACGAGTGATATGTTTTCTTGCATATCATACCGGTACTCGAATATAGAGCAACTTTTCCACCTTTGGTGATCTTAAAGTTTCGTCAAAAGTGAAACTTGATCCCAAATTTCAAATATCTATGTATATGTTAGTGCTCCTCCGTACTGTTCTATAGAAATTATAGATTTTGACCGGAGCGATAGCGACAGAAGGATGTTTTAATTTTCTTTAGTGTCCAACTTTATTTGTCATCCAATGAAAACGCTGTATTTCTTAAAAATTATGTGCGTTAATTTTCATAGAAGTACAAAAGTCGATACTATATCGAATTACGTCCATAGTCGACTTCTATTTTTCAAACCGCATAGTGACGAAATAAAGTGAATGATAATGAGGCCAAATAAAGTTTGACACTAAATATGTTAGTATTCATCCGTGCTGTTCTACAGAAATTAGAAACATTCTCCTGTCGCTATCGCTCCCGTCGAAGTTTCTAATTTCTGTAGAACAGCACGGATAAACACTAACATATACGTAGAACAGCTACGGATGAATACTAACATACTAAGCGTCAAGCTTTTTTTGGCACTTTATTACGACACTATGCTGTTCTATGAATTATTATGAAAATGAGAAATCGACTATGAATGGAATTCGATAAAGTATCGTCTTTTGTTCTTCAATGAAAATTAACGCACAGATTTTCTTTTAGAAATACAGCTCTTTCAATGGGTGAGAAATAAATTTGGACACTACATAAACTTCTATTTTTCATAGTGCTTCATAGAAATGTGTTCGTAAAATAGACAAGTATAGTGACGAAAGAAAGTAAATATTAATGAAGCCAAATAAAGCTTGACACTAAGTATGTTAGTATTCATCCGTAGCTGTTCTACGTCCGACCGCTATTGCTCCTGTCAAAGTTTCTAAATTCTGTAGAACAACACAGATGAACACTAACTGATTACTACGCTACTATGATAATATTGTTTACGAAGTATATGTTACTAACATATACTTCGTAAACACTATTATCATAGTAGCGTAGTAATTTTTATATCTGTTCTTTCATAAAGATAATGACGTCATCTGAGCGCATTCATGAGCGGTCTAGCTTTAATGATTTCAGACGGGTTCTCGGACACCTGCAATACTATTTTGTAAGAGATTGATTGTTTTTGTTAGAAAAAAAAGCCAAAATATGATAGGCAAATTTATGAATTGGATGTAATTGTTTTGATCAAATCATTTATAATAAAAAATTGTAAGGATATGTCGTGCAAATATATCTGTCGTCATAGTGGCACAACGTCACGATAAATAGAAAACGTTTCGTCAAATAAACTGGAAAGTTCTTATTTAATAAATTTATTGAACTTTTTCGCAAAACATTATTTTCTAACTAATTCAATAAATTCAATATAGAACCTATACTCATTCATTATTCTCTTTTATGAATTTTCTTTTAATGAGCGACCAGATTGTATAAACACAGGCTCATCTCATCTGGGTGTAAGCTAGTCGCAATCACTTTTCGTTTTGCTTATGTTTGACGTGGTTCAAATATTAAGATTTTCTTATCAGTAATTTGTTAAAGTAATTTTGGAAAAGAAAATATTTCAAGTCGTCCGTACCATTTTAACATTTTTGCTCTAGTGAATGCATTTCTTCTTTCTGATAAGGGGATAAGATCATAAATATCGCACAACACTGGCGAAATTTAATGTGAAGACAACAATACACAAATGTTTCCTAAAAGTGGAGGCTTTTCTTTCCATTCTGCATTTTATACAAAAATATTCTCAAACTATAAACGTGTGTTTTACTTGGTATATTTACAACGAATATCTATTATGCCACCAGCTAGAAAGATACTGATACCCGATGGTGCAGCATTGTTCAATAATTTATTTCTGAAATGACAAACTTTTTGTTTCAAATATCTATAATTTCCTACATACGAATAATTTATTATCAGCTGACTGGACAAATAGAAATCCACCAAGTAGAAAAATGCGCCGTACGTTATCATTGATATTTTATACGCCATACGTTATCATTTCCGGAAAATGCCCCGATATTAATATTTACACCAGTAAATCTAGCCAAAATGGGCATGAATGATTACTTGACAACATATAACACATTTTTAAAGTCAGTGGTTTCAGTTAATATACATATATGTAAAGAAACAGCGAATTTGAGTGAAAAAGCCGTACGTTACCACGATCAAACCGATGGAAAATTCTCTCGCTTCGAATCTGGTGACGCGCATTTCAGAAGAAGTACGGGACGAAACACCATGAAATAAATTTCTGTGTGCCAGGAAAATTGTGTAGAAGGTTGTTATAGGTACCTTTTCACAAGAACATCATGGGTTTCAGAGAAAAAAGGGAAAAACCTACTTTTTGGCTTCATCCGCCATCTTGTTTGTTTGGGTAACGAACGGCGTGATTCCTCCCCTTGGTTAAGATGCACTTTGAGGCAAAAACTTGTGGTTTAAGTGCACTATGTTACAGACACTTATAGCTACGCATGTATCAGTAAAATATGTGTATCATAAAAAGCGCATTTCATCTTTAACACATTATGACAACCATATATTTCACTAACAATATAACAGCCGAACCTGTACTAAAGGCCATCACCGAATAAGGAGACAACATACAGACAATCTGTGTAATATTAGCTTTGTCAAATAAAAGCTAGACACGAACATTATGCTCTCCATAAGTATTTTCTCAGCAATAATTCAGCATGTTAAGATATATATAGAAAAAGATCTTGTCGACCTTAATTTGATTACAATTATAACCAGTAATAGTGCGAAAACAACCTTTGAAATTTCCATCCAATTACACTGGTATTTTATGTAAAGACTGGTCTATTAGACAGGTTTGACTGTATTATAATAATAGTCTACTTACAGAGCAGGCGTCCGCGTTCTGGTACCCGGCACAAAATATGTTTCGTAACTGTGATCTTCCTAATTTTTTTAAAAGATTGCGACAAAAAAATTTCATTTTTGGAGCAAGTGGGATTTCTTTCAGTACATCTGCATATCCAGTTCCTACCGTATACAACAAAAAAGAGAAACATTAAGCTTTAATATAGATCTACTTTAACATAGAATTAAATATGTTTCTAGAATTGATACAGTGCTGAAAAGCTTCCAGATGCATGATTCTATAAGTTTATACTTCTTAATCAGTTAAAATTTATAAAGAAATCTTCCTAGAGGGGCTTCCAGTAAAAAAAGAAATAAATTCTTTTACCAATTGCAGTCAATTATCTTTCCACTTTGAGGAAAATATCGAAGCCCGCGTTTCTCAAGGAACCTGCTTATAACATCGAAAACTTGGACACCTATGGTGCTATCTATCGATCAAAGAAGTTGCAATACTTTCACGGTATGACTTATATCTGTGCGACTGTGAGCCAAATAGTCTAAGATATTGATATGTGTGAAATAAATATAAAGCCCTAATTAGAGGACACTGGACGACAGGACAAGATAGTCTTACCTTTCGTTTCTCCCCACCCTGTTGTGTAACACTGATCTGATTCTGGCTGGTTCATTTGAGGCAGACATATTGGTCGTACATAAGGGTTAAACTTAATTGGTTCCTAGTTGAAAACAATAAAAAGAAAACAAATAAAGACACTTCTGATCTAAATATGATTTGCATTAGATATTTCTTTAATTGCATTGTTTGAACTGTTAACTTCTATTTAAAAAAGATTAAACGGACAAAGAATAAGAGTATCCCTGCAATTATGGTTGCTAAATCATAATGGCATATCCGGTAAAAGAACCAAAAAGTATAAAAACAATGAAATATGTCAAACATTGTGGTATGAAATTCCCAAATGAATGATTTATGAACGCCAGGATAAGAAAACAACATTTAGCTCAAATATTCTAATGAAAAAACAAATCACAATGCTAAATCAAAGCATTGAAAGTGATGGTTGTGGTAAGCCCCGGGAATTTTATATTCATATTTTGGTAAACGGTTATATTTAATCTCTTTGTTTACAATTTGTTCTGGTCTTGTTCCGAAAGTTAACGTAAAAAAATGAAAAATTAACGAGTGATTTCAACAAGCATCCGACTATTACTATTAAAGCAATTTGAAATTCACATGTAAGATGTATATGCATTTTTAAAAATAATTTTGAATACAAAAAAAACACCGCCCCTCACCGCATTATTTAAAAAAAAAAATTAATCCACATTAAAAATATTGAATTGACAAGATTCCGATTGTTAGCACACATATTAGCAATAGACACAGGGTCGGTGGCACACCCCCCCCCCCCCCACCAAAAAAAAAAAAACACCCAGAAATGTTAGGAAATGTACTGTATGTAAAACTCTTGAATACGAATTTCATTTTTGCAGCAAGTCAGTTTATTACTAGCAAGCGCTGTTTGTTGGGCGCAAATAACCAAATCTCTAAAATCTAATAAATTTTTGGGCAGTAAAAATAGTTCCGAATTATAAAACTAAAAACTCTTCTTTAACTAAATGGCATTCAACACCTTACTGTGTTTGCTGTGTCATTACTTTTTTTCCGTGTGTTTATTTACTATTAGGTTTACATACATGCATGTAGTATAAACATTATTTGATGTCTGCATAGCGACCATTGACTAATTGACAGAAGTATTGTTATAAATTTATATACTGTATAGACTCGTGGGTTGTAACCTTTTGTTTAATAAACTATCTATATTCAATTATCTAGTGCTTGATCTGACATGAGTTGTCGTTTGATAATAATATTAATTCTATGATATGACTATAGGAAAATGTTATAAAGCGAGCATCTGGCCATTACAAATGTCAGATTACAAAATTAAACAAAACAATTCGGTAAAAACTTTATTCTCATTCATAAACTAGCATAGAACAAATTAATTGTTATATTACTCGTATGTGTAATATATAGAAATACGAATATTTTTATTTTGGTTATCAAAAAACAAGGGAAGACAACTATGGTACAACTTCTTTTCGTCTAAAAGCAATAACATGTTTCGAGTCCTGCTTTGTTATATTTGGTCAAATTTACCCTTTTTTCCCTTAAAGTTCATAATACAGTTGGTTTTGTCGTGACGCGGCTCATTTGTTCATTAAACTTTGTATGGATCAATACAATAAACCATCATAAATGTAACAACATCTCACATGACATGTAAAACGTTTGCACGATTTAATAAAACGAAAAGTAAGAAAAAAACTAGAATACACGAATTTTGCAAAGTTAAACCATTCGTTATTCACATTTTGTTTGATTGAACTAAAACAAATTTCATATTAAAAATAAGATATACAGTACTGCAAACATCCGGACGCCATTTTTAATACAAGGGGGCTATTGTAACACTGGCTTATAAAGTAAGTTACAAAAGAAAATATAAAAAATATAATGAAAAGTTTACCTTCAACACAATCAAGGCTATATCATTCATTAAAGTATTCCTGTCGAACCTTTCGTGTGGTATAAACTTTGATATTGTATAAGATTGCTCGTTTTTATCTTTCACATTTGTATGATGTTTGCCGACAAAAACCTGCCATTCATCGTATTTCCTATCACTACAATAAAAGGAAATGATAGTAAAACTTCTTCTGTTTTCAATACAATATTGTAATATAATCATTAAACTAGATTATTTGTAGATGATAGTTTAAGTAAATTATTGGTATACATGTGTATATTTTTCAATCCGCAAACACATTATATAATAAATAATAAAAAAAATGAATCAATATAAACTAGACCTGCCACTGTCATGGCGTGAATACCCACCCCCACATACTACTTTGTCAGACAGTGGCCATTTAGAGCTCAAAGACAACCTCCCTGCCGAATCTGAGGCTACTAAGCCAGTGCATTGCTAAGTTATGTATTCTACATGCTTCAAATGTGAAAATGTCAAAATCAATACACTGCTGACAGGCATTCTTAAGCATTTGAGCAGACAAACTTATCATAGTAAAATCCCTGTGACCTTGACCTTTGACACAGTGACCTCAAAATCAATAGGGGCCATCTACTAGTCATAAACAACCTCAATACCAAATATGAAGAGTGTGGGTCAAAGGTTTCTTAAGTTATTGGGCGGACAATTTTTTGAAGTCAAAGTCCCTGTGACCTTAACCTTTGACCAAGTGACCTCAAAATCAATAGGGGACATCTACTTATCATGACTAAACTCCATGCCAAATATGAAGACTGTGGGTCAAAGGAATCTTAAGTTATTGGGCGGACAAGCTTTTTTTTGGTCAAGGCCCCTGTGACCTTGAACTTTTAACCCAACAACCTGAAAATCAATAGGGGTCATTAACTAGTCATGACTAACGTCCATGCCAAATATGAAGACCGTGGGTCAAAGGAATCTTAAGTAATTGGACAGACAAGGGTTTTAAATCAAGGCCCCTGTGACATTGACCTTTGACCCAGCGACCTCAGAATCAATAGGGATCATCTACTAGTCATGACTAACCTGCATGCCAAATTTGAAGACTATCGGTCACAGGAATCTTAAGTTATTGGGCGGACAAGCTTTTTTTAGTCAAGGCTCCTATGACCTTGACCTTTGATCCAATGACCTCATAATCAATAGGGGTCATCTACTAGTCATGACTAACCTGTATATCAAATATGAAGACTATGGGTCAAAGGAATCTTAAGTTATTGGTCGAACAAGCTTATTTTAGTCAAGGCCCCTGTGACCTTTACCTTCGACCCTGCAACCTCAAAATCAATAGGGACCATCTTCTAGTCATGACTAACCTGCATGCCAAATATGAAGTCTGTGGGTCAAAGGAATCCTAAGTTATTGGGCGGACAAGTAAAAACCGACGGACGGCCGGACGGGGAGACGGACATGCCACTAAAATGGACTAAAGGGCCACTTCTTTTGTTATTTTCTTTTGTTTAATAGAGGGCCATGGCCCTTTATTCTGTTGTTACGGAATGAACTCTATTGTTCTCTTTTGTTCTGTTTACAGTTAGATGGCCCTTTAGTCCATTTTAGTGGCTCGTCCGGACGGCCGGACGGACAAGCTGATTCCAGTATACCCCCTTACAACTTCGTTGTGCAATTCATATGTACCTATATAAGCAATGTGCTGCAGTTAGTATAATATGAGAATCCAGTATACTTCCTCCACATTTTATCCTTCCATTCTTCTTCAACATCACCTGAAATATAACAGAGACTACATTTATTTAATCAACAAAACATTGACAATTATAGTCTAATATTGACATGCTGAATATTTGTGCACCGAGTTGGTTCTGGTTTGAGGGTTTTATAAAATGAAAACAATGAGCCATCAATTGCAACAGTATAGAGTCTGGTATTGTTTATTAATACAATAGGCTGAGATTATGTATTTGAAATGTGTTGAACTGATTTAATCATCATTTGATCCAAAAACTGCATATTATAATTTAAACCAGTTATTGTATCACATAAGTATTCACCTTACTGCCTACAAACAGTTCAAGCTAGTGAACGAATGCATTAAATCGTTATCAATTATCAATGTGCATGAATGAGCCATGAATCTGAGTCACTTATTATGTTGATCATTCAGTAGCTTTCCCCAAACAGAGGGTCTTAGAATATTTTGAAAAAAGTATATATAATCTATAATAATACAGTGTAATTTAAAAACATTTCTGATCCTTAAAACAAGTTGTTTTTGTTATTTGTTTGTTTGTTGTTTTTCGTTGTTGTTTTTATGACGGCTGGTGTATGTGACGATGTATCAGTTAGCGCGGTTACGAGGTTTAAAGGCGACAGTCGCAAACATGAAACATGACAATCTGTGTTCCCCGCCAGTACAAAAATTCGGACAGATTTTTCTGCTTTGTGTTTCAATCTTGGCAGATCAAACGGAGGATCATCTTATTAAAGGGAAATTATATTTATATTCAAAAATTGAAGAAAAAAAATCAAACCATCCAAGGCCATGATCCGGGATTCGCTTCCGTTCCACCAACAATCCGCTTTCCTAAGGGCGTCTGTTGACTTAACGAAGTGGGCTCGAACATAGGCAATCCACACTGGTTTCCATAAATGTCAGGATTCTGTAAACCTGGCGATAAAAAAGTATAACAAATGATATTGTGATCTAACATTTAACGCTCTATATCTCATCAATCATTGTATGCCATGTTTATGAAATTGTAACATTCGTGTCTCTTTGTTTGTTTCCTTTTTTCTTTCTTTTTGTCATTTTGGTCCAAAGCTAGCATTAGTTTTTTCATTTCAATACTTGAAATTTGTCATATATATACAGAAAATTGCTGCATCAGCATAATAGGGTAATAATTCTTATTCACATCCAGAAATGATATCTTGATTTAATTATAAAAACAACATACTGATATATCATATTACTAATGTATAACACATATTTACAGGTAGCAAAAACACATACATTGTATGTACATACATCTACCGTATATCTAGATGGTATAAGTAATGTATAAGGCTGTACACATGATCTCCTATATATGCTAAATATGTATCAAATATGTTTAACTTGATATCTTATACAACATCATATAGTATTTGCTACAGAAACATGATATAGAAAATGTTGACTAAATTTTAATATGTTTTAACGGAAATTTAAAACTTTGAAATACTGGTTTAGGATCAGCAAAAGTGTTTTCAATACATTCACGTTGGTTATTGAAAAGGGATATTTGTTTGTTGAATAATCAATTATCGCACATGTTGAAACATCTTAGAATTCTTAATTTTACTCATTGTTGTGGGTCTGGGCCAATAATCATTGTGCACCATATCAGATAAACTGCTCATTTTTTCCCGAGAACAATCGTTTTTGTAAAATTTGTAAAACGACAAAAAATGAAAAGTGTTGAAACGATCAAATCAGGCTAAGAATCAAATTTTATATTTTATGTATATATCCATCTGTAATATTCAACTAATACTTTTATCAAAATGCGCATCTTTTTCGGGAACATACAAACAAAACAAAGCTTATAATATAAAGAGGTACTAAAAAATCTTTCGCATGTTCTTTAATTTCTAATAGCAGTCGCATATTTCTCTTACGTTGTATACAAATGAAAGGCGACCATTGCTAGTTAACATCGACCAAAGCGCATCAGAAAAAATATATGTTAAGTAGAAAAATGATCCTGATATTTGCACATAGAATGGGTTTACAGATAATCATCGCAAACATTTAGTTCATATCAAATAAATTATTTATAGAGTGATGTGAGTATGCAACTTGCGTTGAATGACTACTTCGAATGTTTCAAAAATGTAGTTAGATTTCAAAACTTAACAAAAGAAATATCAAATACGATTTACTCGAGGCCAAAGAATAATACGTATGCATGAATAGAAGGTTGCTGCACCTTTTTGCCTTTACAGCAAGAATAAAAATAAACTTGGCACACATGGATACATCATAATTAATTTACAAGCATTATAACGGTTAAAATCACGCGAACACGCGCTTTTATACCCAAAGAATATTGCTAATGCATCTTTTCATGATTACAATACACCTTCTTGTTTTTGTAGATGCTAATGCACAAAAAATATGCGTCAAACCTCTTTTGAGGAAATATACATGAAAAATCGCGGTATGTGAGCATGTAAAACAAGAACCGGTTGAACCGGGTGATGCTCCCCGAGAAGGGTCTGGACACAGGAAAGTATAAAAAAAATGAACAAAGGGCAAAAACTCCAAAATTAGGCAAAGCGGAGTTATGTTTTTTTGCACTGCACTTCTATTCAATGAGATCTATCTATCTATAAAGTTTCCTGATGATATCAGAGTTATGTCTCGGGTAAAAGTCAAAGTGTAAAAATGAACAAAGGGCAATAACTCCAAAATTAGACCAGGCTTTGTTTAGGTCCTTTAAGCATTGCAGTTCTATCCAATTATATCTAGCTACCTACAAAGTTTCATGTTGATATATCTAATAGTCCAGGACAAAAGTCAAAAAGTAAAAATAAACAAAGGGCAATTTCTTCAAAATAAGGCAAGGCAGAGTAATGATTCTTAAGCACTGCACTTCCACCCAATGAGACCTATCTATCTACAAAGTTTCATGTTGATATCTCTTATAATTTTAGAGTTATGTCCCTGACAAAGTTCAAAATGTAAAAATGAACAAAGGGCAATCACTCCAAAATTAGGCAAGGCATAGTAATGGCTCTTTTGCACCGCACTTCTATTCAATGAGATATATCTACCTATAAAAATTCATGTTGATATCTCTTACAGTTTAAGAGTTATGTCCCAGACAAAGTTCAAAGTGTAAATATGAACAAAGGGGAATAGTTCAAAAATTAGGCACGGCGGAGTTACGGTTCTTGTTCACTGCACACCTACTCAATGAGATCTATCTACCTACAAAGTTTCATGTTGATACCTCTTATAGTTTTAGAATTATGTCCCGGACAAAGTTCAAAGTGTAAAATAAACAAAGGAGAATAATTAAAAACATAGGCAAGGCAGAGTTACGGTTCTTGTGCACTGCACACCTACTCAATAAGATCTATCTACCTAAAAAGTTTCATGTTGATACCTCTTATAATTTTAGAGTTATGTCCCGGACAAAGTTCAAAGTGTAAAAATGAACAAAGGGGAATAGTTCAAAAATTAGGCACGGCGGAGTTACGGTTCTTGTTCACTGCACACCTACTCAATGAGATCTATCTACCTACAAAGTTTCATGTTACCTCTTATAGTTTTAGAATTATGTCTCGGACAAAGTTCAAATGTAAAATAAACAAAGGAGGATAATTCAAAAATAAGGCAAGGCAGAGTTACGGTTCTTGTGCACTGCACACCTACTCAATGAGATCTATCTACCAACAAAGTTTCATGTTGATACCTCTTATACTTTTAGTGTAAAATAAACAAAGGGAGATAATTCACAAATTAGGCAAGGCAGAGTTACGGTTCTTGTGCACTGCACACCTACTCAATGAGATCTATCTACCTACAAAGTTTCATGTTGATACCTCTAATACTTTTAGAGTTATGTCCCGGACAAATTTCAAAGTGTAAAATAAACAAAGGGGGGTAATTCAAAAATTAGGCAAGGCAGAGTTACGGTTCTTGTGCACTGCACACCTACTCAATAAGATCGATCTACCTACAAAGTTTCATGTTGATACCTCTTATACGTTTAGACTTATGTCCCGGACAAATTTCAAAGTGTAAAATAAACAAAGGGGGATAATTCAAAAATTAGGCAAGGCAGAATTACGTTTCTTGTGCACTGCACACCTACTCAATGAGATCTATCTACCTACAAAGTTTCATGTTGATACCTCTTGTTGTTTCAAAGTTATGTCCCGGACAAGAAAAGGGGACGGACGGACGGACAGACGGGACGGACAAGGCGGCGACTATATGCTCCCCCGAAATTTTTTCGGGGAGCATAAAAATTCCATTATTGCATGTCTTCTATTATCCTAAACGCTATTTCATAAACGTTTAATTTAAAAATCAAGTTTAGTTTTTTATAAGAGAGAAAACGTTTATCTTGAAAACATGATGGTAAATGTCTTTGAAAAGTTGCAATTGAATAAGTTAAATAACATACTTTGATAAAATATTAAGCTTGATCAGGTTTCTAAATATACCCATTACAGGTATCTTACCTTAAAAACAGTAATTGTTTATATATCTAGTAAATTAAAATAAAATTAAAATTATATAGTATACGTTACCAAGTACACGTAGGAGATGCAGAAAATTCAACATTTTTAATCAGTCAATAACTTTAAAAAATCCAAATCCTGTTTTAAATTCACAAATGGTTTATCATAATAATAATATGGTTATAACAAATTATTTGATATTTTAAAAGTGTCAAAATATATCAATGTGCACGGTAGTAAAATAAAGTCACGGCTGAAAAAATTTCAATCATAGTCACGGTTGAATTGAATTAACACTGAAAATGCCGATTTAACTTTCTTTCATAAACAAGCGGATAAACTATAAAAAAATAACAATACACTACTAAAACAATTTGTATTAAACAAATTAAACGGGAAGTTATCTTAATATTGCAAGAGGAAACATTAATTGAATTAATTGATCATTATTGTGCTTTGATCATGTTACAGCAGACAAACCCTTTAATACTGCCATATGTCGTTAATTCGATGAGTCCGTGTTATATTTGTGTAACAAAGTAACGTATTTATATAATTATTCACTCCTTGATGTATTTACATAACAACATTCGCCTGTATAATATTCAAATAAATTGTACGCCCGTATAGAATTCATTTAACAATGTACGCCCATATAGAATTCATGTAACAATGTACGCCTGTACAATGTTCATGTAACAATGTGCCCCCGTACAGTATTCATGTAACAATGTACGCCCGTATAAAATTCATGTAACAATGTACGCCCGTACAGTATTCATGTTACAATGTACGCCCGGGAAGTATTCACGTAACAATGCTCGCCCGTGAAGTATTCATGTACGTCCGTATAGTTTTCATATAGTATGCAGTAACAATGTACGCCCGTAAAGTATTCATATACGCCCGTATAATTATCACACAGTAATACTGTTTGCTCGTATAGTATTAGTTTCACAATGTACGCCCGTTAAGTTTTCATATAGTATGCAGTTACAATGTACTCCCGTGAATTATTTATGTAAGCCCGTATAGTTTTCATATAATATGCCGTAATAATGTACTTGTATAGTATTTATGTAACAATGTACGCCCGTGAAGTATTCAAGTCGTAATGCACGCCCGTGAAGTATTTATATACGCCCGTATAATTTTCATACAGTATACAGTTATAATGTTCGCTCGTATAGTATTAGTGTCACAATGTATGCCCGTAAAGCTTTCATATAGTATGCAGTAATAATTTTCGCCCGTGAAGTATTCACATAACAATGTACGCCTGTGAAGTATGCATGTACACCCGTATAGTTTTCATATAGTATGCAGTAACTATGTTCGCTCGTAAAGTATTCATGTAACAATGTTCGCCTGTATAGTTTTCATATAATATGCAGTAATAATGTACGCGTATAGTTTTTATGTTACAATGTACGCCCGTGAAGTATTCATGTAACAATGGACGGCCGTGAAGTATTCGTGTTACTATGTCCGCTGTATGAAATTCACTTAACAATGTACGCTCGAGAAGTATCCATGTAACAATGTACGCTGGAGAAGTAGTCATGTAATAATGAACGCCCGTGAAGCATTCATGTAACGATGTACACCCGTGAAGATTCATGTAACAATATAGGAAATATGAAGAGCAAGCAAAAATGCTTATTAAGACCGACAACCTACATCTATTATGTATAGGCTAAAAAACGAGGATTTTCAAGTTAAAGTCGCGGACGTGCTACGGATTTTGCTGACGACAATATATGCAACAATGTTCCATCAGCGTCCGTGATTGTTTCAAATGATTTACATGTAAAAGTGCATTATTATTGGCAACACTCAAAATTGTTTTTAAAAATTGCAAGAATGAGACTGTAAGGTTGTTTGAATTAAGAGCATTCAGATTCATTTTATTAACCACAATGCGGTATACAAGTAGGTGACTGTGAAAGAAATAAGAAAACAATGAAAGGTCTGTACCAACTAATAATAATTATGCTATAGAGTTTGTCATAACCTTTATTTCTTTTTTTTTTAAAAATACTATGTATTTGTCTTTACAGTACTCTTCTGTAAATGATATAAACATGCATGTCTTTCTATTATCACTGAACTGGTTATATTTTGTATGGCTATAAACTTGTTATTTGTTTTATGCCAATAACATTATTTGAGTTGAGTTGAGTTTTTTTGTATTTTTTTTTATAAAAAAGTCAACATATACTGCGCAGTTTAAACGCTAAAAGTTTAAACGATTTATTCTATCCAAAAACGACGGTACTACATCTGCATCAATTAGTTAACCCCTCTGCGAGCTATATTTAGCCGCGTATATAAGAAGCTGCAGACCACGCTCTCGGCCTTTTCAACTTCGCCAGCGTTAAAGAAGGTACGGGACATTATTAAACTTTATGTAGAACACAATATTTCAAAATCCTCTCCCTCCCACCACTAATATGTGAATACCGAATTCTTTTGCTGTCGTATAATTTATATATTTTCAGAAACGTCTATACTGTACAAATATTTCGTCATGGCTGGAATTTTCCTACGTTCTGTGGGTGAAAAAGATCTGGTTACAAGGCAGAGCTGCTGTACATTGACACAAAGTAAAAACATTAATTGGCTACCGTTATCGGAGCTTATGCGATTGGTGTCTTGTAGCATTGTTACTGTACTTACTTCAATAATCTTTATGGCATAATCTATCATAACGTATGTGACCGATATCGGGACATACATGGAACTTTGTAACAAAATGCCTTATATTCTTGATTAACAGCCATTGACAAAAATATCGCCAAACCTTAAGAAATAAATACACGTAATAGACAAATCTTTTCTTTTGTCGTTTTTTGTGATGGGATAAAATTAAAACCAATAAAATTAACCATGGAAACTGTTAATAATTTAATTGTGATTGACTGCTTAACAAATTTAAACTTTATATCGGACGAACGGACGAAAGGACAAATCTTTTTTTACAAAAATATATTACAATTTCAAATATAGATATACATAGAACATACAAATGCGCAAGTATCAACATGTACGTGAGTATATTAAAAAAGATGATCAGCATATAATAATGATTTCAATGATCTGTTACGTTTAAAGACAGAACATACATGTATCACAATGTTTGTTATGTATCAGTTTATATATTATCTGACCTAATCCATCAACACTGTGGTTTCAATTAATTTCGCGTTATTTAACAAAATAGAATGTTTTGTGATTTAATAAGTTGATTTACAAACATACATGTTTTAGGCCTAATATAATAATAAAAAATGGTTTGTCGCTTTGCTTTAAGTTCTAAAGTAATGCTGTTTCTTTTTCGGCAAAAATACGTTCGAAGGAAAATAAATATAATAAATAATAATATACAGACGGACGAACGAGCGTCAAGTATGTTATAAAATAGGACACATCATTTCATACCATAAAAGTATATCAAACTATGTTATATATACATTTGCTCTTATCAAAAACCAGCATTTTGAAATAACAGTTTGGAAAATAGAACAAATTGTTTAGAAGAAGTATATCTGTGGCATATCTCGACACGATTTGGTCGTTTTCAGAGATAGAAGTGAAAACAGAAATTACGTTAGAGATCTCCCACTTGAAAACTAAACATATCTATAGCACATTGTAGTCTATACATTTTTATTAACCCTACAAAAAATCTTTACATACTAAATTGAATATTAGACAACATTAACATAGATGCTCTGTATCTTAAGCACATGTATAATGTGAATTAAGCATTGAACAAAGTCAGTATCATGTAAACAATCTTGTTTGTTTGTTTTCCTTTTTCTTGTTTTTCTGAAATCTTAAAAGATGCCGAGAGATTGTCTCACCTGTTCTCTTTTTTTCCATCCAAGAACGGTAAAGCTTTAAAATTAAAGAACTTCATACCAAGTTATAAAACATCATTTTATTAAAACAAAGTGTTTAAAAAGAAAAACAAGCCACAAAAAGATAATGAAATTCTTACCTAGCGCCGGATGCAATAAGTATAACAGACAGGCAATAAGTTCCAGTGCCATTCCCTCTGACCTAGAAAATTATCCTGTTGTTTAATTCACATATCACTAATGAGAGCTATTACTGTTAACAAGTTTTTGTCAAAGACCTCGAGCATTTGATCATAATAGATAAGCATAAATTATTCTATTCTCACTGTATATGTTTGATAGGCGCGTAATCAGTCATTTTTATTTTCGTACACAGTATGGTTTTTGGTTATACAAAACATACGACATATGCGCCTGGGTTTTTTGATGAATAAAACGTTAAATGTCGTCACTGCACGCAATTATTGTAATTGGTCACTATGATTGTTGGTAAAAAGCAATGAAGTAAAATAATATCAGAACACTGCAGGCTTTATTTTCGTTTCTGCCTTAGGGAGTTTCTAATATTATACTGTATTGAAACGCTTGTGCGCACTTTTGATATTTTGATCCTGTAATCTCTAAAACATTTTATAGTTGACTCTCTCTTAAAGTGTGTACCAACATTTTATTGAATAAAACAGTTATATGTTATTTTTAATCAGGATCAATGCTCGGGTAAGTAAAACTGGACGTAACAGTCGACCGTTTACAGTTACAAAATGATTAACAGTTTGATCAACGCCTATCCCATGTGCACCACTTTGTGCTACTGTCATCTTTGAATTTTTGGTAACGCTGGAGTAGACTTACGGTAAGTAACTCACAATGTGCAAAGTGGTATTCATTTTGTTTACTCAACCTTACCTCTCGTGAGGGAGACTTCAAAAGTTGACCTACATAACATCACTCAATATACAGTATAAAAGTGTAACCATGTCGTTTAAAAGTGTGTATTTCACCGAAGTGGAAAATCTTTGTTAAAGAAATAATTATTAAAAATCTTAATGTAAAAGAAAAAAACAACAACAACAAAAATTTAAATATATGTTCGATAAAACAAAAGCATGAAAGCATGATGAGAAATTTAAAGAGATTTAAATAGTTTTCAAATTTAAATGCCAAAATAGCAAAATAATGTTGGAAAACCTGAAAGACAGGACGAAAATAAGAAGCTAAAGAAAGCAGTGAAAGGCTCATGACAGGCATTTAGAACTGAAAAAAAAACATTTCGATAGCGTTAACTTTATTTTGAAAGTAGCATTCAATTTTTTATGTCAATGAAAATTATTTTGCAATACAAAATTATGTTTCCTTTTTTAATCATCTTATGACATTTTAAAGGCCCATTATACCTCAGAAATTCTATCAGTAGAACTTCTATGAGTCGAACTTCGATTAGTCGATTTTCTCGATGTGTCGAAGTAAAATAAAGTCCTGATTTTTTTCCTTATATATTCCTTATAAAAACCTATTTATGAGTCGAGATTTTATGTGTCGAATTTTTCGATGTGCCGAAGTTTTTTCGTCGTCCGTATAGAATAAATCTAGAACAATTTACCACAAATAAGTCGAGGTCCTTCGATTATTTTGACACCTTCGATCTCTACACCTTTTCTGGCCGCGAAGACGATTTCCGATCAAATTTAGTGACAGGTATTAATTACACAGGAGAGTGTCCAAACAGCCTTTGTATGCGTTTGAATGTGTAAAAAAAGCTTTTATGGTTACTATTTTAATTGCCGTAATGGTATTTGAAAGTACATGTAAACAGTAATCATTTGAGTACTTCCGTGACCCGGTCTCGCGTGATAATCACACACGAAAAAATTACCATAAGCTGGTTTAGTTATTGCCCTTTCGTATTTTAACGCCTTTTGTAACTTTATTGTATACGTCAACAGCTAGTCCAAATCAGTAAAAGTTACTTAACATGTCATATTTATCATTGTATAATGTAAAATATCAGATTAATGAATGAAAGAAAATTACGTTATAGATCTTATAATTAGGGCTAGTCACGGGTTGAAATTTGGTCAGGAAATTCAGACCGATTCATGAGTCGAAGTCCCGATGTGTCGAAATTTTTACGCAAGTCCCTTCAACTTCGACTTACCGAAGATCTACTGTATTTTATTTATCAAAATTTCAACTTTTGCAAAGAGTATAATCATAGTGCATTATCATTTTATATAGAAGTCAAAATTCTGCATTGTTTACATTTTTCTGCCTTCATAACACATTACTGCACGTTCAGTGCAACTTTAAATACTTTTTAATTATTTTTCTTAAGAATTAAAATAGAAAGAGGGATAACGTGCCTTTAGCAAGACTGTTTTATTTAAATCTTTGTCGTTGGTATTTGCAAATATATAATCCTTACCTTTTTAATTTCTTGAGTCAAATTCAGTGATTTTTTTTGTACATAATCACCCCCAAAAAAGAAAGAAAGAAAATAAACAAACAAACAAAACAACCCTGTTTGAATGTGATGCTGAAATACCTAACGACTGAAGCAGTAAATCATTATTCAGCTGTTTTTAAAATTACAAACTGGATCTAAGTAATGAAACACCATACTCGTTAAGTAAAGAGTATTTTACATAAATCATGCTAAACAAATGTTCAAGATATTGCTTTGCCACGTGGATTTTGATTGTTGTTTTTAATTAAATTACTCAGACGTCAACGCTAACTTTATGCCATGGTTATTCATGACGCCATGAAGATATTTTTCTGTCATGTTTCCTTTGAAATATCTTCAAATATATAGATTGGCTAATTCTATGTCAATTCCAAAATTCAAACAGTGTGATATAACTTACATATGCCTATATTTAGACGCATACGACAAATCATCCAGAATCATCGATGGCCACATTGATTAACACAAGAACAGTCATTTTCATAGATAAGAGGAAATTCAAGACATTTCTAATTTGAAATCATATAAGTTCATTCATTTTGGCATAAGTACTGGTATCCCGGGAGCTGAATACACTCATACTACTTGTATCACACTGGGTACACCCCTTTGAAAATCAAAATTTTTGATAAAATTCAACTTCTGACATACATTTAATGGGATCATCTCTATCCCTAAGTATCTATTTTTCAACTTTTATTTTGTAAAATACTGTCAGTTCGCGTATGTGATGCACTTATATGTATATGGGACGAAATTAATTCAAAGTCAATACTCAAAACTTAGTGGTATTCAGTATTTTTTTTATTGAGGACACCTCAAGGTAGCCCCCTCCTAATCTCACAGATTCTCAACTTTCCTGAGTTTACTCGACACTTACTTTATAACCTGAATACCACTTTACTGAAAGGTAAGGACTGTCTTGACCGTTAGGTAATTATATGGGATTTACTCATTGAGTGTGAGTGTAAGTATCGATTCTGAATACGGGCTTCTTGTTGCTGGGTCATATGGGGGTTGCGTTCATTGAACGCCGCCTTTCCTTGTTGATCTTGTTTATCATATTCTAGGACTCCGTGAAGCAACTCATCTTTGTATGTTAAGTTTCTGTCAGGAAATCAAATTCAATGTTCTCGTTTCCTGTAATTTGGAGGACTATTCGTAGTTTGTAGTTTTGCATACATTTTATCCAAGAAATGTTTGATCCTCTTTAATGTTTTCATTAAGGTTAAGTTTCAACCTTCTCAAGTATTTAAGAGCCTAATAGATAAAAATTAACTGATCTATAACGAATCAGATGCAACTCGGAGACCTTAAGAATTTAGCACGAGTACAATTCAAGTGGTTAAGTATATAGTTTAAACATTATTACTTAAGCTCGATATAGTGACCTAAGTTGTATCTTAACTGTAGGACTCTCGAGTCCACTTCCTGGACATAACCAATACTTGTGTCATATAAAGAAAACATAGTCATGACCCCAGTAAGGCTTGAACCACTAGGCCACTAGTCCAACTACCACCACCAACCCCAACCCCTGCCGCCCTTACGTTAAACATTTGGTGAAATAATTGCACGTTAACAATGGAGCCTGATATAAAAGAGGATTTACTACAGCATGAGTTTAATAATATATGTATTCTAACAAATTCCGAAAATTTGAATTAAAAAAAATATGTTTTTATTTTGAATAAAAATTGAAAATTGAGTAGCGCTGAAACCGCTGCTTGCTGACGCGAGGGATGTTGCACTTTTTCATTATTCCTCATGTACAGACTCAATCAAATATAGAGAAATAAAGAATCCCTAAAGAATGCACAAAACGACAAAATTGAAAATGTTGCAGGCTCGGTTGGATTGAGCCTGTTTATGGACTGCAATGGAAAGTGAAAGTTACCGTCCACGCCTCCCCTCCCACCCCCTAGCACCTGCTTAAGCAGAATTCAACATTTTATCATGGTAATGGTGACATTTTGAATTTAGAAACATCCGCATATTACTCAATACGCCGGTTAGCATGGAACCTTCAATCACGCCGAGTCTACAATGTTCATGTAATTTCGTTGAAATTAATGTTTTCGAGGGATCACGCTTTGTCAAGATTTTTGTACTGTTAACCATAACATACTATAAATAAAGTTTGTCTTACTGCCTTACTATTGATTAATCTAGTAGATTGTTTTATTTCTGCCTATAGCTTGAATTCTATAATATTCTGGAGCCTTATTACTCTGAGACACAACACCTCAATATGAGAAGGTAGTATGCATTTATCATGTTTTATTTTATGCTTTTCAGTGGATTACTGATTTATCCGTGAAAATTATATTTGATAATTTCACAGTGAACATTATCAAAATATAATTTCACACTTTTCAATGACAAAACTACTTTTTTATGATTTTTCTCCATGTGGTATCTCAATTTTATTTTTGCTGACAATTCTGACAATGTCAGGATGTTTAAAGAAAACCAAAGCTGAAATTGATAAATAACTTTAATGTCAAAAGTAATAAAAAGAAGAAAACTTACTTCTATTCATTCAAATTCCAATCACCCAATTTCGTCTCTAATTTTTTTTGTTTCATTTTTACAGTCTGAAAAATACATTCCTTCCACATGCAAAACTGCTCTTGATGACATTTGGGCATATTAAAGTATCCTACGAGCAATAACTGCCGTATGCTTTATGAAAACTTGAAAAGCAATGAGAGCAATCAGCTCGAAGAATAAGTAAACAACCCAGCGTTCCTGAGCCAGCCTTTGAACAGTTCCAAGTTTTCCATTTTCCTAGCTGCTTTTCGAATGTTTTCACATCTGTCAACACTTACTTTTTGTCTGTAACAATCCTCAAATAAGTTTTCTTTCTTTAAAAAAGGTGTATGACTAATAAATCCAATTGATATCCCTCTGAATCAAACACAATTATTTTCCTCCCGTGAAATACACAACTTTAAAAAATGGCTGCCGCTTATATTTAACAAAGCCAGGTCTAATATAAATTCGCAGTAAGTAACAGAAATATGGATGGATGGTTGGACTTTTTCTCCTACAAGAATTGTTTGTTTTTATTATTTAAAAAGGCGATCATTCATTTTAATATTAAAATTAATTTTATGGAAATTTCGTTACAACTTGTTTTTAATCATAAAATAAAAAGAAAATTTGTTTGTTTGTTGTGTAAGATGTAATTTTATTTCATCTCGTGAACTTTAAAAATAGTATTCTCAGAAACAGAATATTGTTTTTAAAGCCCACACAAACAAACAAATATCCTCTATATTCTTCTCCTCAAAGACTCAAATATTCTTTGTTAAATATCTAAAAATTCAGAACAACCTATCTACCAATGTACTAGTAACTGATGACATATTTTAGACGAAGCAATTCATTCTTGTTTTAAGTACAATATTGTCTTGCTTTATTATTAGTCTATATTGAGTTCTGTTATATTGTTTTTGTAAACAACTATTTCTTAAAATATAGTCAGAAGAAACATTCATGTTTTGACAACAAGGATTCACTTTTATGACCATATCAGAGTGACATCCCTTTGCTCGACAACCTATGTTGTGCATGGAAAAAAAAGAAAAGAAAGTAAACTATCTATTTCTGACAAATGTGACTTTAAGCTTCAAAATAATCCTAAAAATACCATTGCATAGTAATTATTCATTTTAATACAATAATGAAATATATAAAAATGATATAAATGCATCAAATATTCTGTTGGCCATGTTAAGAAATCGACATTTTTTCCTACAGGCATTTACTGATAATAAACTACTTATATGTTTTTAATACAATTATGAAAAAATAACCATAGAAATGATGTGAAATGCAACTTATATCCTGTTGGCTATGTTAAGGAAAGACATTTTACCTACATGCATTTATAGATAATATATTACTTATGTCAATAAATTGAAAGATGTAGACGACTAACACTCTTAGGTGATGGGAATGTAATTTGTAATATACACAGACATTAATATATCCATTTAATCATGTTAAACATTAGACTCTGCAACGAGGTTCTATTCATCACTGCAGATGGCGGAAACACATCTTTTGTATAAAAATATTTGACATACATTCATTTAAAAATAAACCATGTTTGTATGCCAACGTAATCAATTTTCTTTAAAATTTATATTTTCACACAAGACATTTTTATATCCCAAATACCATGATGCGGCGAAAAAAATGAAGCAGTTCTTTCGTGAATTGGGCTTTTCTTTAATAACACAGCCATAAAAGTTCAAAATATACATTAGAATAACTGCGGGAAGCTTTTATTCATTTGTATCACATTACAACTATCACTTCAGTGTAATGCAAACCGGTGCGTGCAAATTAGAGCACTTACCAAAAATAAGTTGGTTACCTACTGTTACTTCTGAGGTCAGTTGCATATATTTGGGTTAAAATGATAAAAGGTGTATTTGTCAGATAAAAAGTAAAAAAAAAATCAGAAAAAAACTGCCTAAGGTCTATTCTGCTGTAAATGTATATCATTGTCAGGTTTATGCTGTCAATGGAAAACCTTACAGATATAGTCTATATATAGAGAGAGGATATTCAGGTTTTTTCCATACATACAGGATTTATTTCATAAGTGTTGGAAGCCACGAGTGAAATATGATAATTTTCGTAGCACAAGATGAAAATAAATCCTGTTTATAAAAAATTCTGTTTATAAAAAAAATCTGTTTCTGTTTATATATATTTTTCTTTTTTTGACATCACAGTTTGAAAGGCTTTCCCTTATTCCCTTAAATTTTGAATACTGACTGAATTTAGCAGAAAGTAGTCTGGCAAGACACGTGAAAATACGGAAAATTTGCTTCACTGCAGTGAAAATACGGAAAAAATGAAAATACGCATCTTATTTTATCAATATTTCTCAATATATCATTTATAAATATATAATAGATATTAATATCACATTACAAGTTTCATCTACAACTGTGCATTATTTATAAGTTTTGTTCTCTGTATGTTTCGTTAAAAACAAACACAAAAAATCTTAAGCGCAGATACGAGATATGACTACCTAATGCAGGTTTAAATGTAAGGTCTGACTTATTACAAATACACCTCTTTAAACATTTTAACCAAACGGTATGTACAATTCACCTCCGAAGTAACAGTAGGTAACCATCTTATTTTTAATAACTACACTACCTTTCAAACATCGGTTTATATTACTCTAAAATGACATTTGTAATGAAATACAAATTAAAAAAAAAACTTCAAAATTTGGATCGGAGTTCAAGAGTATGTCATTCCATACAAAGATTGTAATCTGTGTAAAAAGACCTTGATGGATAGTAATATTTCAATATAAATATAACTTGTAAGAAATCTTCAAACAAAAATTAAATTCAAAACAAAAAACGGACATTGATTATAAAAATTATATTGACATTAATACATTAATCATTTAAGGGTAGTCCTGAATTTAACATGGTCTCTCTAATCCAAGTACCATATTTGGAAACGTCGGTGTATATGCCTGGCCATTTGGGCTGCGCACAGTAGAATCCCCAACTTGTCACACCTAAATATATCATAAATCAATGATGAGAAATGCGCACTACAATCAGTGAAAAAAATACTACAGCATCGAAACACGAGGCTATCTGATTTGTACCCAGAGTATAAATATATCAGATTGCCGAGTGTTTTGATGTTCTTTCTCTTTTGTATCATAGGCAAAAATAAAAACATGTTCACTATTGTCACAATATGAAACCCCAGAAAAAAGTAACCAATGTACGATCATCTGAATATGACTTTTCTATCGTTACAAAAATAAGTAAACCCCGGAAAAATGAGCCAATCAACGAGCGTGCTCTACTTTTATTCCTTACCGACAGTTGGGTAACTGGAGTAAGCGTAACTAATACCGGCACTCCAGTTAACGCACTGTGCATGTGTGTGTATACGATTTTTAACCTTAACATATTTTCAACAGAAAGGTTTCCAAACTATGATACACATTTAAACCATAATTTATATGATAATATTGCGTTTGAATATTGACACTTTTATCTTTTCTTAAAAATCCTGAACATCTTGCACTAATCATATAATTCAAAATACTTTTTTATTCAGAATGAAAAGAAACGTTTTTTACATCACACGAATTTATCAATATTAGACGTATAACAAAGTATAGGATCAGGATTGGATTACCTACCTTGAACATACCATTTCCCATCCTTCTTACAGTTGTAGGGCCCGCCGCTGTCTCCCTTAAATAGAGACACAAATGGGGAGATTATTAAAACAAACTGTACATTTTATCCATCTTGATTGACTTTTACAACATTAGTCCCTGAAAAGTAGCAGCCATTTTTCGGGGTCATCATTCAATATATATTATTGACAAAATAAGAAAATAATGCAAGAAAATTTAGATGAATTGTCAATTTTCTATATATGTGAAGAAAAAATATTGTTATAGCACCAATATAAAAAATATCAGAATACATAAGAAGATTAAAATGATTTGTGAGAGATTTTTTATTTAGTATTCTCAATAATATGATATCCCGGGAACGACACTCAAAATGGCGACCAAGGAAGGCAAGCAGGTTGTATGGTCATATCTAGACTTGTCGCATGGGTAGGTTCTGTAGCCGGGGAAGAGACTAAGAGTTAAGCTTACAATGGATTTATTCTTTTCTGTACAATAAGTTATATGTCAAAAAGTAATAAATCTCTATATACACGTGTTTATAATACTTCACTTTTTGTAACATCGCTTTCCGTTGGATAACAGATACGTTTATATTATTTATTACAATTCGACTTTAATCCGTTTTTACAAACATAACTGATACATACTTTTTCGACAATCGTTTTTCTTATCAACAATCACAATACAATTGTTTTTACATACCGTGCAAGCATCCCGGCCGCCACCCATATAGCCAGCACAAAAAGTTACACCTTTTATAAAATGTGTTCCGTACCAGTCGGCTCGACTACAAAAATAGTCGCTAATTAGAGGTAACATGACTTGGTTCAGCACGTTCCTGTCACCTGTACCTATCATAAAAAAATTACACAAGAAAATTTATATTTTCATTGAATTACTTATGTATAGTTACTTGCTTCCAAACAAAAATACTTCAATCTTACTCTTGGTTAAGAACATATAATGTTTTCTCGGGCAAAAGTAATTGTTTTATTCCAGGCTTTCTGGTCTTTTCATTTAATTTTAAAATTTAAAATAGCATTAATAAAAGTACTTCAATTTTCTTTGAACTTCTCTACCTATACAAAATAATTTACTCTTCTAAAGAATAAGGCTTAAGCAGCTTAGTTCTAACTCAAATATTACCGTGACAATTTAATGTATTATTATACTCTATTATACTCTATTCATATTACATGTATTATTAACACATTCATGTCATATTCATTTCATAACTAATAAAAGATAAAGCAACTTCCCAAACAAATTAGTAAACATTATTTATACAGTTTTGTCCCTTGCGTTGCTTTAACTGACAGCAAAATATATAGCTTATAAATGCATATCCTACATATTTTCCTATCAAAAAAGGAAATTCAATTCTGACACCATGTACAGACTGGTTTCCCACACTTATGTCCCTTTAAACAATACCCTTTACATACTTAACTACATTTAAAGGGGATCATCGTCACTTACTTAAAGATATCATGTTATACAAAATACATTAGCTATACATTGATTTGTATATTTATTTCTCTGTCAATAGGTGTTTATACGGAGGACTAAACGTTTATTTGTGTGTTATTACTTGGGCGGTTTTGATATCATTTTAAGAAAACAAACAAGATCATAATGTTTTTGCACGATTATATTTGTATCTAGAAATCTAGAAAATGTGCACTTTAAAATCCCCTTCATTTTTTGAGACTCGGTTGGTTTATTTAAATATTCAGCTGGCCATATCTCCGATTCTTTAAGGGCATTTCCTGGATCCGTACTCGGCAGCGAAAGCTGCATTTTATGCCTAAATGGGCGGATTGACCCTCATTCAACATTGGATACATACTTGTGTAAATGTCCTATTTGATTTGTTTGTCTGTCTTAAATCTGTTCCATCACCTATTCAATTTCACTATTACTTTTCTTAAAATGTAATATTCAATTCACTACAATGAAACAACTAATATTTGTAATCATATAGCCATATAGTTAGCTTCCAGAACTCCTCACCTGTGGGTAAACAATGTCGTAGTCCATGTAGGGATTGATCCTAATTTCTCTGGGTAGAAAACAAAACCTTACTCAAATGACTATCGTACCACATGATTAACAGTATTCTTATGCATTCTTCCCCTCATAACTAGTTTGACCCCTTTGTCAGACAAAATATACCTTTATCTTTCCCAAGTCTTCTTCTAAATAAGATTAGTCGGGCATTTTACCAAGACTATATGAATAATTCAATAACAGCAAACACAAAATACCAATGATTAAAATAATAGAAACATCGAATAATTGAATAATTTATAGGTTTTATCAGACTTATTTTCCAAACATTCTGAAAATATAGCATATTTCTGTGCGTTTTAATGTCTATAAAACGTGTCTGTCTACAGTAAGGTAAATTAAGTAATTGTTTCGACGAAACTATATACGAAAAGATGCTGATATTGGTAATAATAGTGTGTAGCATGCTTTCTTTAGCTTATATATCATATATCTATGGTCAAGACAAACAGACGTGAGTAATATCTTCGTTTTAAATGTGTTATAAAGATTGAATCTCGTTCCGTTTTCACAATTTGTGTCGTCAATTCCAATTCAGTTCAATGTGACCAAAAATTAAAAAAACTTTTTATACAGATAACTATTACCATTTTACTTTATTACACTTCATTTTCGCTTTATCTGTTTAAATATTAACGTTACTTAAATACTGCACTTTTCAAATTCCATTCAAAGGTTAATTTAACTAGCAAAGAAGTAACACATGATTTTTTGGGCGTAGCCTTATTAATTTTTTTTTTTGAACTTCATTTTGCTGAGTAATGAGAAGACACGATATGTAATTTTTAGTTTAAACGTCATGTAATAAGATATTTATTCAAATTTAAACTACATATCAAGTTAGAAAGCAATCGTTACACAGTGCGTATACTTTAAAACAAGTTGTTTTTAAAATGTCAGGAGTGGACATTTTCTTTGTACGGTATCTATTACGTCTGGGAGCATTGCAAGAACATTTATATTATTGTTTTTTATCCTTAATTAACATAGTTCAATGACTCTAATCAGATGATGTTGTTATAAAGAAACCTTAGAATGAAGGGATAACAAGAATGCGATCAAAAATAAGGTAAAAATGTCATGAAATTGCCACAGACAATCGGGCTTTTTTTTTACAATTTAACTTTAGATTTAAGCGGTGAATTAGGATTAAAAACTATAATTCAGCTGTAAAAATATATGCTTGATTTTCTTTTGTGTTTTGCCACTTTCTTTAAAAAGTACGTTTCTTCTTTCTATTAAAAAAGAAGCTCATACCCTGAGTGTCGCCCCATCCTGTTGTGTAGCAGTATGAGTTAACGGCAACAACCCGGCGTCTTGTTGGTGGAACACAAATAGGCTTTACGTAATCATTGAAAACTATCGGCTCCTGTTTTGAAATTAAATAAAGGGAAATACATGCAATGAGTAGTTGTGTGATTTCTTTGTCATGTCCCCTACCTTTGCAATTCCTACTGATATATTGTAAATATATTGTATTAATTTTATTAAGTTGAATTAGCATTGTGTTTGCATACATGCAAAATAGTAGTATTTCTTTATCTTTCTTGCTTTTGAAGGTAAACTTGCAACAAAAGTAAAGCAAAAACCCCAGCATTTGTTTGGGGTAGGTTTGGAACTGTTGCAGACGAAATAGAAATACTTATAAAGCGCTATTAAGTTCTCTTAAAAGAACATTTCAATGCTTACTTAAACTACCTGTTAAATTATGTTGCAATGAAATATCATTAATAAAGGTAAAATCAGTAATTATTAGAATTTGATATAATAAATGTCATAACTGTTTTAGAGTGTCGACGTTTGTGGTATGTCATATATCTATATCTGTTTCAAAAAGATATTTTCACATATTTAAAACGTCCGTTAAATAACAAAAATACTTACTTGAAGTTTTATAAGAGCTATATCATTCTTCATTGATCCATTTTGAAAGCCTGGGTGTAAAATAATTTCCTGAACATGATGTGCTGATTCTGTATCGTCAGGATAGTCCAAATGGTGCTTACCTACGTATGCCAACCATCGAGATGCTGTCCTGCTTAACATACTGAGTGAAAAAAAAGAAACATTAAATCATATTGTGACAAGAGTTTTTAACTATTACTTAAGACTTATTGTCTACAAGTAAAGCTTTGAAAACGTTAAGATATTGTTTCTTTCTTTGCATTTATCTCTCTTGATTCTATGAAACAGTGTATTTCATCTTCATCTTCTTCACATTGTCTCTCGTTATATTCAGTTATTGTTTTGGGCTCGATTATAACTCCTTCATGTCTACATGCTTTACCTGACTACTGAAACGTCGTAGCATGTTTTATTTAAATTGAATATTTATCTTTATCTGCAAGTTTGTACTTGTTATTTGAGTTATTTGAAAATATAATTCTTATGTATTTGTTGAAATAAAAACCCTATAACGTTTGACTCACTCTTCAAAACAATGGGCAGCTGTAAGTACAAATTGTTCATTAAGAATGCTCCCTCCACAAACCATGACCCCTTCTTCAGCTAGCATTACCTGTTTCAGAAATAAGGACAATAGGTTACAGTACATCAGATGTTTTTGTGATCTTTAAAATAATTAATGAAAAACGTTGATTTTATTATCTTTAATAATTATTAATTATTGATCATAGCCTGCATGTATCAATACATATTTACCATCCATGGCCAGGATCCAACCTTAGCTTCATGCCCTCCGACCACACGGCTGCTTACTGGTTGAATTGCTGGCTCTCCACATGGAACATTCTCTGTAAAAATAAGATTTTAAGACTCCTTTCCTCAATAAAATGGACAATTTTATAGTTGCATAGTGTGTTCTTCTTATGCCATCTTATTATTTTTAATTAGGCTTAACATTTCAATCTTTAAATATTGAAGAATCGATTAAATACTTGAAGAATGAGAATAAAATATCCAAATTTGCCTTATTATGATATCTTTAATTATTGTTCATTTGTGTATTGTTCATAAGTATCCACATGGTGAGAATATAAACCATGAAATTATGTCTTAATTTTAAAAAGAATTAGGTCGTTTTGGCTGTATGAAATCGGCAGAACAATTTTCTATATGAATCCTACAAGCGCTAACGTCCCTTATATGAAAAAAAATATTTTGTAATGTTTTGCGAAATCTTGCACTTAAACATTTTAAACATGTTCACGCATTCGTAGGAAAGTGATCGAAATATTGCGCTTTTCAACTTTAAGTTAATACACTGAAACTTATAATCCGTTCGGTACACCATACTTTATTAATCAAAGTCGAATTCTTCTTTAGAAAAATACTTGTCAATTGTTACTCTAGCAATAGAAACAGCGTATATTTTACTTACGACAATCAGCATAATATGTTGTATATCCGATTATAAGGTATAAAGTCAAAGCCAACCAACTTGATATTTTCATCTTAATGTACAATTTGTTGTCATAATATATATTTAGGGCAACATTATTTGACAAGTGCTTATCCGAACATCATGAGAGGTCACGTTATATTTATGTCTCTTTCCGTGTCAGATAACAGAGTAAATAATACCGTATAGCTTAATTATTTTATACTAAAACTAAATTAAAACCTTGAATTTATAGAATTAAAATCTTTAAAATGGATTGGTCCACAAAGGGCACATTTTCCGTGAGTGCAACAAGTATTTACAAAATCAATGGAAATGTATCATTTGAATATTCTAATAAAGTATTTCTTGAAAAAGGATGTTGATAGAGCTGTCAATGATTAAAAGAGAAAAAGAACATTTAATTGATAAATAATAATAATTTGTTCTAGAACAATTTATTACCTGCTATATATTCTAATAATAAAATATGTTACATGACTAATACCGAATCATGTATCTCACACAACTAACATCATCCATATATAATTTTATAATGGTTTGTTGTTTATATCTCATACTAAATACAACATGACTATTTATTGTATTACATACATTCCATAATGAATTCTCTTTAAAGTAATAACACTTTTTTTCCGATTTATTAATTGCAGTGCAAAAGTGCAAAAAAAAAACATGGTCTGAGATACCGAAGGTTACCACCATCACACGCCAGGTTTGCACCGACATGGTTGAAATGTATATATCAAAACGATACATATAGATACAGTTGAATCTGTTTATAAAGACGACAGTCGAAAAATGACCGGTTGCCGTTTTAAAGGGGTAACTGAGAACTCTTTTTTATCAAATGGGCAACATTTAACCTAACATTCCACCTGTGTTCTGTGTTCGGTATGAAGTGTTAGACTGTAAAGTTTATTTTAATAAACTGTGTAGTTTATTTTAATAGATTTATCATTAATATTTTTCTTGGGCATTTGAGCTGTTCAAATTCGGTTTTCATTCTTTGCTTTTTGTAATAACTTTGTTCTTAATAAATGATGATAAATATTCTGAATCAGTATTTTTTTATTTATAATTTGTCGGAGCGCATGTCCTCCAAATTGAAACAGTTTCGTTGTAATTTAATGATTTTTATCAAACAAATACGAAATATGAAAGCACCATATTGAATTTCACTCCATAATTGATTAAAACTCGACAACTCGCATACAGTTAAACCGCCATATTGGAGATTTCCCACGGTCTTAATTAATACGGAATACAAAAAATGTCTTTATGAATAAACAGGCTTTATTCCGATGCTCTCCAAAAATTATGTGGAAAGACGCCCGTTCTAAGGGCAGCATTAATTTCACTGTGCTTAAACATGACGTGGAAGGAACAGAATTGAACGGAGACTTAAAACATGCGATTTATTTGCGCGGCGATGTTCAAATTGAAATAGTGATAAATTTATAAACACATTAAACTACAAACACGTTTAACATATGCGTTATTTTATTTCCTAATTATTCCACTTTCCAAAGTCTGTTAGGTATTGGGACGAACAAATACCATGTATGTTTATCAGTTTGTTTAATAAGTCTTTAAACAATCAATGCATATACACGCTTCAAGCGGCATTTCATAATTACAAAGGTATATAACCCTCACAATTCTTAAGGACATAGGCACAAAATTGCATTCTAAGAACATTCTCTTCCATGGCAAAGTTTTCGAATAAAAATGATATTTAAAGAGGGAAGTATTAGAAATCAATACTTATTGATTGATTTAAAACTAAAATGTTAATAATTGATTAACATTGACTTTAGACACTGAAAACACAAAGATCTATCTTAATGCCCATTTCTGCAACATATTTTTGAGTAGAACAATGAAAATTTATTCTAACAAACCAGATAGAAGTAAACAATCACACGATACCAATAAGAAACAAACACTACCGTCAGTCCAAAAGTAGATGTTTATGTTATAGTGCCATATGGGAACATTAATTCTGTTCAACTGTGTATACTTTATATCTATATAACAGAGTTATTGGTCCCAGAAATGAACTAATTGTCATCTTAAATGCCACTACTTAGTTACGGTGTCACAATATTTCTTTTTAAACGCATTTACATATATACACTTGAACATACACACCAATACTAAACGTAGACTTAATCACGTTTGGGTGATCTGTTTAAACAAATGATAGCCTTCTACAATTTCTTTTTAGAGTTTTTGAACAATAGAAACCTGAAAAAAGAAAAGAATGCTTTTATATACGAATTATAATGTTTTGTCTATTTCCTGCAACATTTGGTATCCCGTTGTTAATGTCCTCTATTTGATAGAGTGACGCAATCTTTGAATACTACATTACTTGTAGCGCAAGATAGAAGTTATTGTCTTTAATTTTTATCCGCTTAAGTTAAAACATCAATCATTTTTATTCTACAGTTAAGTTTATTATGTTTGCAGGTTTGCCTGATTAAATAACATTTATCTATATTCGATATGTATTTTGGTGACTTGTTTTAAAAATTATGCTAAATGTTTCGTGTTGTTTTTTGTTGTTGTTTTTTGCTGTTAGTTTCAATTTCAATTTTAGCCAGAATACTTGAGACATCATTGCTGTTCTCTAATTTGTTGTAATCATTCAGAAGAATCAGCAATATCTGCGGTACACTTAACACTTCCATGTTCCACAACAGTGCTTTATTGGAAATTGTGAATCGATACACCAAGCCGATGATCACAATTGAGCGGTTCTATACATAGAAGGCTTTCCCCCGCCGTTAATTCACTGTCTCGATCAATATGGTACAAAATGCCGTCACACTAAGAACTCTACATCTTTTTACTGGTCTTTTATTGCTGTAAAGTAAACGGCGAGTCCTCAATCGGAATCAATGAGTGCTTATAACATTTCTGTGATTTATGCTTTAGGGGATGTGTGATGTTTCTGTTGGAATAATGTGCAAATGTTTGGACTGAATGTGATCTGCATATTGTCTTTGCAGGGTAAGAATTAAATGCATTGTTAGTTTTGTGTTGTATGGCAGATTTTATGTGTATTGCATATTCCACAAGTGTACACCGATTTAGCGTTATGTTAAAATATTCAGACTTATAGCCTTATTTTTTCTTGAAATCAGTATCTGTAAATGATAGGGGTTTGAAATTTACTGGATACAAATTATAAATAGCACTGCTTTACTAAAAGGACATATTTTGTCATTTACATATTGTTGAGATTCCATTGTCAGTTTATTGTCCTACACTAATTTTTTTTAACAATTGAGCAAGTAACATTTAACTCCAATTTTTATTTTTGAGAATTATTTATGTTTTAAAGAAAAGAATGATACAGATGACTGTACAAATTGATGAATTCAAGTTAAGAAACTGACTTAATCATATATAGAATATGTGATTATTACTAAAATTAAGCACGTATGTGAACAGAAGAATGACGTGTACTAGTATAAGAAAAGTCCTGCATGAACTTTAGCTATATCTATTTCTGTTGTTCGGAGTTTATGAACTATCCATACCAATTACTTCTTGCATATCAGACTGGCGTTTCCGTTAGTTTAACCTATGCCGGAAATTTCATCTGGCATGGGGGGTTCCAGATGAGTCGCGTGCTGTACAATGGCACGATAAAGATGACGTCATTTTACCGTTATGGATGATTTTGTAATTCATACGCTGTTGAATGAAAGTAGTTATGGTTGTAATGATATAAATTTTCATTGAAAATAAAGATAAAGAATTTAAAATATAATGGAATATGGTAGAATATGCAAGAAAAAATATCTGACATATGTTTGCGGTTCGGATCGGAATATCCGTCCCTCGGTCACCCGCCCATTGGCGGTAACTCGGCAAGCCTCGTTACCGCCCAATGGGCGGGTCACCTCGGGACGGATATTGCGATCCGAACCGCAAAATATGACAGATATTATTAATATTGGATAATTAAGCAAGCTTCAAATTGTCTTTCATATATACATTTTGCATACCCTTTACACTTTCATGTAGACGTAATGCTCCTTTCTAGTGTATATTGATAATGAGAGCAGTTGGACTATATTTCTCCAGATATAAGCCGGAAAATTCACATAAACGCTTGATTAAATGCTCCCAAGACAATAAGTAAATGAAACTATATATAGAGTAAAGACATAATTATGAAGGTTTTGACCTGCAACAAAATACTAAAAGATCAATTCTAATGATGATGACTTACGAAACAGTCATGAATTAAAGCAAGATAATAATGCATAATTAGATCTACTTGGACACAGATATAAAACTTAAAATGTCCATTATGTGCATGTATGATTATAAAGCAAAAGGAAAATGTAGGAAAAAGTTACCATACAAAAGCTGTTGTTGTCCCCGTGAAATGGATGTCGATCATTAGACAAACATGGTCTGTTTACTATTTAACATAATTATGGTCTTTATCAAAGTTATTTATGAAAGAAATCCAATTGTTAAGAACATTGTTGTATAACTCTGAACAATAAGTCATCGAATTTATTTAGTATTCTAAAAAATGTTGATTAAATGTTGAAGCAGCTCGTCTAGACAAAGTATTGCTTTTATCTGTTTCGGATGTTTGACATGAATTGTTTGCACTGTATAAACTCTCGTCTGCATTTTGTTGATAAAGTATGTTTGATAGTGTCATACAATCCAGATACGATGATTGTGTTTTTTGTTGTTGTTGTTTTTTCCTTGATGTTTACCATTTATTTTATATCTTTGCAGACTCATATTTGTTAAATGATTTTTCTAGACCAGATGTTATGAAGTTTACAGTTGAAAGTCAACTATGAGTACCTTATGTTATTTTAAAATCGACCTTCTCAATATAATTTACACAAGGTTTCATACTGTATATAGTTAATATGTCACTGTCCAGGAATATTAAATCAAAATGCCCTGTACAGATAAATTTCATTCTTAAACGAAACTATGTAAAAAAAGTAAAAATCAATGCATATTATAAAATAAACTTCTTGGGGTTATATCTTTACAAAATAAAGAAATTTATAGGGAACTGTGAATGATGTATGCATAAAAGCAAGATCATATAGGAACGGTAGGTAGTTGTTCATCTTAAATCTTTTTTTCCTAAGATATAAATCTATTTGTTGAAAACTTTGAAAATCAGGCCATCAGAAAATATCGGATATAAAAAAGGGTTACTCATTCGTTTTTCCTAGAATCTCGTTTTTGCTATAGAGATGATTTTTTGTTGTCATTTTATTCTCTAAAAGCTTTATACTTCCTACACAACTAACAAAGAGATAAATTTCTGATGTTATTCACAAAGCATATTTTGTTAAACAATAACAAAAACAACCTGATATCAAACTTTGCCTCGAATGGATTTCATCATACAAAAGATACAAAAGTGCACTGAATTTCCTTCAAGTACCATAAACATTTTTTTTCTATGAATAATCGACCTACATACTTTGTAATTCTATTGTTTCTAAATGTTGGCATGCAGTCAAAAACATTCAAAAATATGACTGCTTTTGGGGCGTCTTAATTCCTTAGAAACCAAAAGAAAGCTTTCTATCATAAATTGTTCTTACATATAAACATGTTTATTTCGAGTACAGGCTCCCAAATGTTAAAACAACATCTTTTGTTCTGTCCATGAACCACGCGTCCAAATTTTATCTTCTATGACAAGATTTAAGATCCAAGATTTTATTAAGGCACAACATAATGTCTATTGCCATAAAGAATAATGACGTGTACACATACTTATAAGTAAATAAAGAAATGCATAATACATCTAAATAAGAGAAAAGTAATATTACATATATAATATCACAGTCATGAAATAAATAGTATCAACATATAATAATTAATGTTTCAAAAATTAGTTGGAATTAGCAACAATTTTTTCTCTAGCAAATAAATTTAGGCACTTTCTGTTTAACATTCTTTTGCAAATTATACATTTACATCTTAAACTTTTGTACATTCTGACATGAATGAAAAATCATTAATAATTGATGGAAAATGATCCATTGAAATTGAGTGTGTTACTGAAACACATTATCGCCCAGCTAGCAAAAGACCTGTCCCAAAAACAAATTTATTTTTTATTTTTCAAAGATTGTTTGGTTAACTATAAATTGTGATTTCTAAAGAAACAGTATGCACCTTCCTAGATAAACAAGCTATTTCAAAAAGACTAAATTACTAAGTGGTAAAATCAAGATATATATGAACAAAAATAAGATGGATGAAAATGTCAGTCAAAGAAAGGGATAAATCAGACAGTAATTGGTCTATTCTGGTATATGTTAGAAGAGATATTGTTGATATGTCAGCCCACAAATTTAATTATTGACGACTTTTGCAATAACATGGTTGTTAGACGCGTTGAAACAAGTATAGAAATTGAACGTTATTCTCTTACTGAAGCTGAAACGTAAGGTGATGTAGGGAAATAACAGAAATAATTGTTTTATGTTTCTTTGTAAAACCATAATGATAAAGCAAAATATCGTTCTTTAGTCTTGATGCAATCTTACTGAAGCGTTGGAGTAATGCAGAAATACTTTCGCTTTTTTAACTTTACTATATCATAAAGAGTTAACGGAAACAATTTTTCAGTCTTATAAACCTTACATTAGCGTGTCGGTAATTTAGAAATTCCTTGACCTAACGGTGGAGCAGGAATACAACAGAAAACAATTTCTTTATAAAACCTTACTATTATAGTATATGCCTTAAAGCAGAAATTCTTTTACCTAATATTATACTTATACTTACTTAAAGGCACAATATGTCTCAGAAATTCATATATTTTAAATTCTTTAGAAATATAAAACATCTGTCCAATCATGCTTTAATTATAGATTAAGATGCTGAACAACTGAAGAAAGTAGCGTTGAACATGCCACAGTGTGTCGCAAAGGTAACAACATGTAAATAAAGTAGTATTTTGACTTCCATACAAAATACAAATTCACTATAATTATACCGCTTGCCAAGAGAACAAAAGTAGCAAAAAAGTTCATGCATATGGCAAACCAGTATTTATTCGGAAACTGTAATAGAATACCAAAAATAAAATAAAGTTTTTAAGAAACAAAAGTGAAAGCGTTGCTGATGCATAATGGGCCTTTAAAAACATCACGAATGGCAAGTCTTTACAAGATCTTCTGTGTGTTTTATGTCACCATTTTTCATCTAGTTTACACTATGAAATTCCCATAATGTTTATTGTTATATATTAACTTTTTGAAAAAAGTCTTGTATAAAGGATACAATAAATGAAAAACAAATAACATGTTTTGTCTAGCCTATCTGAAGACATTTAACTTACTGTTATCTTTGATATAAAACTTATCTCAATTTAAAATTTACACAGTTCTTTAAATACAACTAATTCAGATTATTTTGTGTTTCAAAATGACTATTTGATTAAATTGGAAGCTTTGTCTAGACAATCAATTGCCTTTCTGAGAGTTTCAGATGCGACATGTTTGTTTGCATATTATAATCTTCAATAGCGTTTTGGTAGGGGTGTTTTAAATGAGCGTTCGATCTAATTTACAAATTCATTGTTTTCAAGATGTAAACAATTGATTCAAACAGTGAAAGTTAACCAGTCGCAATTGAAAAGATTTACCACATAAGATACAATATTCATACACTAGAATATATACTTAATCATTGATACAATTTCATCATACCAAAAGGCATATAGATGTATATATATATGTATGTATATATATTCATATAATAGAATATAAATTTTATCATAAATACAATGCTTAAATGGTTTTTCTATTTTAAATCATGTAATATTTGATCATATTTACTCTTTGTATGTTCTTTGTATTTCCTTGTATGTAAAATTCATGCATATGCATAAACATCCATTGTGTATATTCTAAGAATCTACCAGCATTTCTTAGTGCAATAAAATGATACTGGTAGCATTCTGCAAGGATTATAACACCAGTCTCAAATATATA